TAAATGGAGGTCCCGTCTCCTACAGGGTTAGGGGTAGGAAACGTTAATTTCCCACGCACGAAATTACTGTCCTCTCCTGGGGTGGGTTGGGTGGGATTTATTGGGTGGACTACTCGCGTGGTTCGCATATGTTCCGTTCTAGTCCTACCCTACTGCGGTAATGCAGTGAAAATGGTTAGAACCCCCAAATAATAACGTGTAGAAGGTAGCTCCTGTCCATTCAGATCCTCACGAAAAGTTAGAATTCAACATAAGGATAAACCGCAATGACACAGCGTTCCCAACTTCTCGTGAGAGGATATTTCCCGGACACTATAATTGAAAACGATTTGTAAACTTAATTTGTTTAAAGTCTCTCCTCTAAGCTGATTGGACGAAGATTTTCTGACACAATTTCATCCTCACCTAGCCTGAGCTACTACTCGCCCAAATAAGCTCAAAGCGCAGTTATACTGTATTTGCAGTAGAGTAGTTGTTTCTTGATTGCGATTTCACATCAATAGTCACGTTTCCAGGTTTCCGCGGCTCCCATAGACAACCATTAATTCTAACGTTTATCTGCTGGTACAGCAAGGATCATTCTCGTAAGCGGCCAGCTGCGGTCACGTTTACTTCTCTCCGTTATTTTGCAAGTGCTACATCTGTTGTGGGGATATCATCTTCGCTGAAAAATAGCAAACAACCAAGACCTCAATTAACTGGGTTCCTTACGAGAACAAGATGATCTGAATGAAAAACCAAACAAGAAAACTTCAATCCGTTACTTATTGTTGTTGCTCAGGCGCTGTGGCCGAATAGGTTTTAGCGCTGGACTCTAGTACTCCGAGTTAAACCCCACCCACCACCCCTCCCTCAAATTCTTTGCCTGCACTTTTTGAATAGCTGGCTGCTTTTCCAGTCAACAATTTATGGCCCTAATTCACCATCTTTTCTTTTACAGCTGCGAGGAACTACTCAAGGTTATACCTTGGTTGCCATTTTGTGAACATCAGCGAAGCAGGATTGTTCCCTTCCGGGCTACCTGGTTACACTGAAATTGAAGAGAAAGGCTGTATTAAGACATGCTTCAGGATGAATTACAGTTACGCTGCCATTCAGTCTGGACTCATGTGTTTCTGTACAAACAACTTTCCTTCAAATCTCATGGCTGACCAAACTGATTGTTTACTACCATACTTCTCAGAAAAATGGTATCATAGTGAAGTCGCCCTGCGCTTTTATCGAGTTCCAACAGAAAATGTCAAAGTGGGGAAAGTTAGCATTTCCCATCATAGAAGAAGAATTGGCGAAGGCTTCAACATTACTGCCTCAGTGAACAGTGACGAAATGGGATTTTTTAAGTTCACGGTCCAATCCGGAGACGGAAATGAATACGTTTTCTGCCAGCCACAAATGAGACACTTCTATACAAATCCTGGCAACTACAGAGTTTCCTTAATTGTCGAAGACATCAAAGGCACTAACGTAACCTTCTCAGATTCGGTCATGGTCGCTGATAATCTTACAAAACTAGAGTTGGAGTGCCCTAGAGCAGTACCACAAGGAGAGGAGGTAGAATGCAACATAAAAGTTGCTCGAGCCCTCAACGTTACGGGGAAATTTACTGTAGAAAACAGAGAGGGAAAGCTACAAGAACTGCCAGGTTAGTTTAAGTCAGGGAGCGCTTCCTTTGGGTGTTTCTGAGCCATACAAAAAAAAGGCACCACACACACAACACCCGATAAGAAAAACATCGCAAGGAGAAATAAGAACTCTAAGTAAAAACAGCCAAATAGCGAGAGGTATGTACTAAGATGGCTTCATCTTGGCCAAATGTTTTTTTTTTAACAAAATTAGCATTTATGATGCAATTTGTCGTTGTCGATAAGAGTGTGGACACTGTTCGCGTCAACGTGTCACGCAACGTGTCACACACTGAAAGGATGGTTTCACCAGGTTGTGACGTCAATATTGTGAACTCACTCGGCTGCATCTTTTGAGTCCACAACATTTTGACCACTGTGATAATGAATATCGTTGTCGATAACAATAAAGACCATGCTAAACAAATGTCGATTTAATAATTCTCTTCCTAAGAGACGATTGCCAACGTTGCTCCTTTCTATCTTTGACTAGATACTTGGATGAGCAGTTTCGGTGCAGACGTACCCCGCTTTCTTCCAGAATCCAACACCACCCTCGGAAAACTACTACAAAGTCCGGAACGGATCTATATCCTTACGAAGCACAGCGTGCAGAAAGAAGGCTATGTGGCTGGGCTCGAGTTTAATGTTATCCAACCGGGACCGATTCGTGTCTTCGTAAGTGTGATAAAAACCAGTCAACTAATACATGAAATAATTTTTCCATTGATTTAGTTTCTAAAATAGTTCCCCTAGAGAGAATAGTTCCTATTACGATCTAGATGGTTAACCAAATAAATGCGCTTTCTGATCATGTCAATATATTACCAAGATATGAGCGATGACAGAGTCTAATAGAATTACTCTTTCATCACGAAAGAGCTTTAGAGGAAACACGAAGAAACATTCGACACTGAGAAGTTGATAAGAAACTTTGTAACTCGATTAGAGATAATCACTGCATGAAGAACTACTGATAAATAATCCCTAAACCAGTCTTATTACTTTTGATAATAGATATTGAGGCGTGTGGATGAAGTAAAAACTTTAGCATACTCTTGGAAGAGTGGAATCATTTGCTCAAATTTAGAAAAGCTATCCATAGATTATGGTACTTGTTGCCCAGCTCAATGTAACTCTATGGGAAGCAACCTAGGATCAGTAGCAAATCTGCAGTTCGTCATCGTCGATGAAGTCACCTTGGCTCAGCATATGAGTGCAGGATATCACTTTGTGGACTTTGCCAACGTCACTCAGTTAAAGGTGCTTCCTGGGGATATGCTTGGCTGGTACAGCAGTACCATGTTTGGCAAAATTGGCTTTGTCGAAAAGACGGAGGAGCAATGTCTTGTGTATAAGGGAGTTGCGGATGGGATTATAGTTGGGAAAAAGCTGACCACACGTGCCCCAGACTCCACTTCCACACTTAGTTTCGCACTGAGAGCAAATTTTGTTCCAAAAACGTTCTCAAAAGCGTCATTCAATCTTGCAGAAATAGGCTCACACAAACTTGTTGTTGGATTGAGCGACAAGTTTGGCAATATGGCGGAAATGACCAGTGAAAACATATTGTGCCAGCGTGCAGTGGAAGGACTCTTAGTAGACATGCCTGAGGCTGCTTTGGTCGGTCAGGTTGTGTTTGGAGTAAATGTCACTTACGGCACCAATGTGAGTTACATTATAAACTCTGGGGATGGTCGACTGATTAATCAGTCTGAGAATATTGTGAAACTCAATTACACCACACCAGGGGCTCGTGACATCACTGTTATTGCCTTCAATCACGTTAGTGTGGCTATTAGTGAGTGTGAAGGGCTGCTTATATTAGATGAAATAGAAAATATCAGCATTCAAGTAGAAAAACTTGTCGCCACTGATGACAATTTTACGATCACAATCAGTATTCTCCGGGGCACTGCTGTCTATTTGAATGTTTCTTTTGGTGATGATTCTCCGGGTTTTAATATAAGCAACTTTGACGTGAATAACACTTTTACAGTCACTAAAAACCACTCATACAGAAGGGACGGAATTTACCGTATCAGTGCGATAACGAGGAACTCTCTTTCCTCCGCATTAGCGGAAAAAAACATCACTGTTCAAACGCGAATCACAGGTTTGCAGACCTTCGTACCAGGGGTAACCGTTTCCACCGACAATGAATTGGTTATTAACATTTCAGTTGCCGAAGGGACTGATGTCAGCTATGAAGTTTCTCTGGAAAGCGATAAAAACAAGACGGCGAATGGACTCGGTGTCACTGTGGTGTTCCCCAGAGGAGATTTAAAGCCTGGCGTGTCTTCGCTTTACGTTAAGGCGTATAATCTGTTATCGATCCTCAAAGACTCAAAGCAAATTCATTTAGAGACTCCGATTTCAGGAGTGTTGTTCAACTTGACATCTCCAACTGAAGCAGTTCGAGTGGCAGAAAACTACACTTTCGCCTTACTCTACGACAAAGGATCAAGTGTCCGTATAACTTTCTGGAAGAGTATCGACGAAGAAAGTGTATCACTAACACTCCAACAAGAAAAAAAGCATTTGTATCATTCAGTTGTATATCAGGCACCTGGAGTCTTCATCGCAAGAGTGAACTATAGCAACGTACTTGGGGAGGTCGTCGAAGAGAGAGCTGTGATGGCTCAATATCCTGTGAAAAACATTTCCGTTAACACAAACAGTCCAGTACCTCATCCACCTGGTATCATTAGCATTACTGTGAAGCAGGATGGAATCGTGGCAACAAATGCAACTGTGATATGTTCGTTTGGCGATGGAGAGACTAGTGAGAAACGGGAATTTTCTGGAGAACTCAACATTTCTCACAGGTAACCATGTTAAATATAATAGAGTTCTTTAGATCTCTGAGTAATACAATAACTGGTTGCTAGATCTGGATATTAAAGTGAGTTTTTTAAGTTTACCAGATAGGAATACAGTGGTATAAATGAACGAAGCTGAGTGATGGCTTAAGAAGTTGCACTAACGTCTTCAAAGGGTAGTTTTCTGCTTATGCTTTTCTTTCCATCTGTATTGGGCTGACAATCAATCTGACAGAACCCTTCACATTCTTTCACGCATATACATTGTTTTGTTTTGTTTTTTCGTTTTTCCCCAGATACGCTAAGGCAGGCTTTCACAAACTAGTGGTGAACATCTCAAATTTAGCGTCTTTTGTGTCAAAGGAGGTCATTGTTGACGTGGTGAAAATCATTACGTTTATGGAAGTTAATGCAAAATCCTCCCCTACTGGCGCGGTATTGAGGGTGCCTTCACCTCACAATACCTTTCCTGTAGAAAGTCCAGTCCTATTCGAAGCCGAACATGATGGAAGTATGAGTGTAACACTCTTTACCTTTAACTTCGGCGATGGATTTGAAATAAATGGTACATCACGCAACATTATGGGAGAACACACTTACACGTCCAAAGGAAAATTTAATGTCACCCTGAAAGTGATACATCGATTTGGAGAAAGTTGGAATTTCACAGTGATTACGATGAAGGAAAGCATAGCTGGCTTAGCGATATCGGACAACGCGCCGACGGTTTTAGGAGAACCCACCACATTCGTCTTGAACTTGACCAAACTAGGAACGGGTACTCTGATTAAGGTTGATTTCGGTGATGAACAAAATATCTTCCTTGGAGACAAAAGTAACAACATTGAAGTATTACCTGACGTTGTTAAACCAATAGATGATTCTGTGCAGAATATCACATTTGAGCATACTTACAATGACATAAGTCTTTATGTCGTTGAAGTACATGGATGGAATGATGTTTCTTCCATGAGAATCTCCCATCGCACTGTTACTGTGGAGAAAGAATGCAGATATCCCGCTCCTCAAATATTAAGTGTAGGAAATAACATTAGCAGCGCTACAAATACCACGAAAGATAAAGAACTAATTATCTACACTGGAGTTAAGGTGAGCTGCCAAGCGACATACAAGACCATCTTTATGTGGAGGTTGGAGCGTCATGATTCCCAAGGAAATCTTTCTATCGTAGATATCAAAACGGATTTAAACAAGTCAAGCTTAACAATTCCATCTGGTTCACTTCCATATGGAATCGTCACCCTTCGATTTACAGTCCAAATGAAATATATCATAGATGGAATTGATTCCTTTGCGACCGGGTATATCAATGTTAGACCAGCAGCTCTCAAGGCCATAATTTACGGTGGAGGGTTCCGCAAAGTCAGTTCTAAAAGATCGTTTAGCATTGATGCCTCCGTGTCTGAGGACCCGGATGTAGAGCGCGGAGACCTTACTGGAATTCGCTTTCATTGGTATTGCCGAAGATTCTTCGAGGATTTTCGCTCGGATTTGGAGGCACTTCCTGTCGTTACATTTAAAGACATTTCTTTGCACTCGGGAAACAGAGGATGCGAAGGAAGTGGACCAGCAAGGCTTAACTATTCCACATCTGTATTGAGGATTAGACCTGGGATGCTTGAGGAGAACACAATTTACGTAGTCAAACTGGTGATCAGAAAAGATACACGAGAAGCCTCGTTTGAACAAACGCTTTCAGTTCGTGAACAAGTCTTACCGGACATTGCAATACAGTAAGTATTTGCAGCTGGTTATCATATTATATCGTTTCGCTGGTTAAGCTTTGCTTGGATTAGCTCAATTTTGTAGAGTAATGTTCTAGAATATTCCAAATTACTATATTTGTACTCCAGAAATATCCGCGAAATTCGCCCGCACTGAATTGAAATAACAATTTGACGTGTTGCATGGATAATAAATCTCTTATTAAACGTTTCGTTGTGTACTATTTCTGAGTATTTTTGTATTTACTCGTTTTTGTATTTTACTCGTTGTTTGTATTTTGACTCGCGGTAGGGGCTCGTCAAAATACCGCACAACTCGTAAAAATTCTCAGGGATACTACACAACAAAACGTCTAACAAGATATATATACTCCGCCAAGTCTCACGATATTTGGCCAATTAATTATATTAACCCTTCTAACGGTTTGTGACATGGGGTCTTTGAATCGGAAAAGGCCTTGACATCAAAATAGGATTTCTTTTTCAGAAAAGTGACTGAGGCTTCTTCTTCTCAAGAATTCCTGCCGTGACAGTACGTTTTTTAGCACGCTGTCTTTGTTGAGAAAAACGTTTCAACGGGAAATTAAACGTGTTTATATTTCTCGATCGCCAGCCACATTAATCTTGCCATCTCATCCATTTTGAAAATTTTTGATAACACACCTATCATTACCTTCAAGAGTTAACGTTACGATAACTAACGATTCCTTTTGTTAAAGATGCAAAGTCAACTGCAATTACAAAGTTAACACCAACAATCGGCTGTCTGTGACAAGCATTTGTGCCAACTGCCACCAAGAAAATTTCACCTCAATGTCTTACAAATGGGAACTATACGTAAGAGATCAAACCACAGGAAACTGGAGTCTTGATCTTGAACTTGATTCCAAAACAGTAACCAACAGTTCTAAACAGAATCTAGTTCTGAAGGAAAACAGCTTGGATGTTGGTAGGAGGTATAGACTCGTATGTTTAGCAGGCAATGAAGGTGAGTGAGCCGCCAAATCGTATATTGAATTCATATATAATTGGTAACTTTATTCATAAACAGTTGAAATTTCCTTTTAGCATAATTTGCAAGTAAAATATGTAATTCGACCTTGCTAATCTAACTAACGAAATGAGATAAAGGCCATCATGTTCTAAGGTTGCTTTTCGAGGATGAAATATCGCGTTCAAAGCTGTAATGACGTTACACTTCACGAAAAAAAAACCACTGTGTATTTAGCTTTTTTAGTTTAATTGCACTGTTTGTTTGATTTACAGAACGAAATGTGACTGCACTCGCTTCTCCAAGCATGACGGTGCCTGCATAAAATAACATAAACCTTTTTTTAGCTAGACTATAGGTGGTTTGCACGTTACGTCATTGCCGCCATTTTGGTGGACGTAAACAATTGATATCTCATTAGCTTCTTTTGTCCGTCCACCAGCATTTTTTCCTTTCACCATTGTTACCTGTGTCTCTGGAGATTGATTGCAAACCACCTATTAAGCTAACATACTATTCCAATTCTCTATCTGTTTTGGGAAATCGACAAACAACCCTTGAATGATACATAATTAATTCTCTATTTTGAGTTATTGTACTGATGTTATGTATGGTTCTTTTGTAGAAGACCAACAAGGTCAGAGTGAACATTATTTTACAACAAATGTTCCCCCTCGAAACGGAAATTGTATAATCTCTCCCTTGGAGGGAAGGGTGTTGACGACCTATTTTCATATCAAGTGTTCAGGGTGGAGAGACATGGATGGGCCAATTGTTTATAAGGTGTTTCGTGGCAGAACGCTCCTACAGCATGGAAAAGAGGCAACTTTGCCTCCTATGCTTTTGACTTCGGGTCCACGTCAAAACAATTACACGTACTACTTGGCCGTGAATATTTGTGACAAATTTCACAGTTGCACCAAAACAATATTACCTGTGACTGTAAGTGTATGGCTAGTCATGTATCACTTATAATCAGAGAGTTCTGAATTGATGTTTGGCAGTTATCGAGGAAGAAAGATTGAACCTCTAACTACTTAAACTCATTAGATGTTACACTAGATACTCAATATTGAAGTCTGCCTCGTTTTTAAAGAATGAGCTCAGCTTTTAAAGTGAGAAGTAAAACTGCCAAAAAGAAAAAAAACAACAAAAGTAAAGTATTATGTCAAAAAACATAATTTCGTCGGGGCTGTGTTCCCTCCGTGACTGTCGTCAAAGAGAAAACACATGGGAAGTGAAAAAGTCCTCATATTTGAGAAGCATGAATAAACAAACTAATAAAAGACATCGATGAAAGCTCACTCTTTTGCAATCAACAATTTCAGGTTATAGAGGCAAAGATCTCCGCTCAAGATCTTAAGTCCATGATGGCTGAAGACGGCCTGGTGACAAACATGCGCATCTCAGGGAACCTACAAGGTGTCTCCCAGTTGATAATGTCGGCCGCCTCAGTGCTTGCAAGCCAGAATGCCGAGAGGAAGAGCGCTGGAAGTAATGTTACTGAAGGAGATGGGAAACTTAGGCAGGTAGAGAAGGAGCGTATGGAGGTACGCTCATCAAAGTGTTTGAATATAATTACCACGATGGTCAAAACCTAGCTGCAGTTACATGAGGAAAGTTCTTTTTAATGCCATAAAAGGTGTTAAAAGGCAAAATAGGGCCGGTACTTTCCTCAAGTGTAGCTTTTAAACGAGGAAAATTATCTAAGATGAGATTTGCAAGTGAAGACGTAAGAATTCTTACCCCAGCATTCAAGAGAATATGAACTGATGCAGTTTTGTACTCTGAAGTAAATAGAGAAATATTATACCGAGGAAAGTACAATTTACAAGATCTTTTCATTATAAAAGAGGCGCAACACGTCTTTGTGCAACATTTTGGAAGCATCTCAAACATTTTTCACATTTTATCTTTCTTCTTCTTACAAATCTCATTGTCGACCAGAAAATAAGCGATTAAACCAGGTTTCTGTTCCTAGACGTCTGTAAGATGGGTCTATTTATGAAAAAAGAAAAAAACTTTCAAGTTTGAAGTGAGAGCTGGGTGATTTACTCATCAGCGTTGAAAACTTCTCAAAAAGATACTTTAGTGGTTTAATTCTTCCAAACGGTGAACTTAGCATTTCTCATGACAAACTTGTTTTTTAATCACTCCAAGATGAAAGAGGAATTGCTCGGTGCTCTTAATCAACTTGAACCCGAGTCATTGGACACGTTAGGAGTTGTGCTGGAGGCAATGTCATCCGTCACCAATGACGTCACAGAGTTATCAAGCACAGCCCAGGTAAATAGCGGCCTTGCCGAACTTGCGTGATCAGGAGTGTCTAAGCTAAGTTAGGTGTATCACTCTCGGTATGGAGTTTTGAATTTGCTAAAATGAAGGACTGCGGCTGTATGAAGCCCGCTTGAATTCGACGGTGCCTGTGTGTAGTGGATCGGTCTTTTGGCAAATTTTTTTATTAGGCCGTCGTCAGGCCTTGGCTACATATAGATGTGCTGTCCAAAAAGAGGTACTTTGTTATGGGTAGAAGTTCATAAGCAGTCATGGGTTTCCCTTTCGATCGAAAGGGTTGTAAAAAATTGCAAGGGTGGGACCTAATGGTGTGGAGCATCCCTATTAAAGCTCCCCTCGTAAGTATTACTTTACTCGAAAAGTTGGTGAGACAGTCAGCAAATCTGTAGGTATCGGGGTATGTTTTGGTTCAAAATCTTCTTCAAAGGAGGGGGGATTTCAGCATCATAACTTGGAAAGTTTGATCTGTAAGATGTCCCTTAATTAACATACATATATTTTGTCTCTTTTACCTCATTTTTCCCAATTCATTTGCAGTCTACTGTTCTAAACATCCTCTCGAATACTGTGGCTACTCTCACGGAGAAGAAAAACCCTGATTCACTAGAAGCAATAAAATCAGTCAGTGCTGGAGTGATGGAAAACTTGGGTGTGTGCAAATAATTTGTTCCTAGAAACCCTTTTTCACTTCCGAGTAGCGCCCTTAGTTGAAAAAAACAAACAAACAAACAAAACAAAACAAATAAAAGCAAAACAAAATTCACTTTTCCTATCAGTTAGGAAAATGAGAAAGACCATTATCAATGGACCTTTAATATCCGAGATTTCAAAATAGAAATTAACCTTACATATTTCATGAACAGGAAACTTGTTTGGATCCTCAAAATATCAACAAGACAGGAATTCCTTACAGTTGGAGAAATTAAAGGGCAAGGAGCAATTAGAAACCAATGAGAAAGAGGTAGATCTCAAATGTTAATCATCATGATCATGATATCATTGTTATTATTCATTACTAATGGTGGATTCTTCAACAATATTCATTGAGCCTGAGACGAACAATTGTTTTAGTACAATTGCTTTGGTGCTTTTCAATTCTGTTGCAAGTATTCGTTTCCATGCTAAAACCATTTTGTTTCATTTGTTTCGATTGCTTGTATGAAGATAAAGAGCCAATTTCCACTAGAATTTAACAGGGTCATCTGATTGAATCAGCAAAAACTTCATGTCTTTCTCTTGAAAAGTATTACTCCAAAATTAGTTGTATTTTTTTTGGTTCTTGGGAATTTGATTTTCCTTATAATGTTTATCATTTCCTCGGTAACATTGAGAAAACGTAAGGCAGCCATTTTGAAATTTAGTGCTCCTGCCATAATCACTCCGCGCGAGGTGATTATAGCGAGACATGACACAACCCTCAACCAATCAGAACGCGCGCATCTCCATAATCACGAGAGCAAATATACTCAAATGGTAAGAACACAGCATCAGGGTCTGCATCGTTCGGAGTCGCAGAAATTTCGTGGAAGGTGTTGTCGCATACATTGAGTTGATGGTGCACTGAAGCATCGCGGACACATCAGTCGTTTGCACCGAGACCGGGAACTCATGAGCATGATTATAATAACTTAAAAACCCTTCTTTCTTTTCAAGATGGATACTCTACATCAAGACAGCAAGCAAATCAAGGAAAATGTAAGAAAAATATTTTTTAGACTAAAATAACAACCATCAATTATTTTAATTTTTGCCATACGCTGGACTGTACCATTTATAGACCAGTGGGTTCGGGCCCGAGGAGGGAAATTATATCACGATGGTCACAACACCTTTCTCCCACCGGTTTGTTCTGAGTCCAACTCCCAAACATTTCACCAAGTGTAAGTTGAGTCTGGGAATGTTTCCCGACTTTCTCGGTCAGCAATTATTCGTTGACAGTACAAGTGAACAGCCAATCGTGTCTATTTTAGGCTGACTATTGTTGAAAATTTATCTACAAATCTCATCTAATTATCTAATTTGTTTGAGCCTACATTTGCTCTATCCTCAGCACCTTACCGGCATGAGTCACGAGACTGAATCTGATATATTCCAGAGCGAGCCAAACAAAGACAATAGATCCGGCAGCCATTTATGAAAGTGGTCTATATCTTTAGATATCAAGTGTTTAATTTTTTTTTCTCGTGTTTTTTAGGCGCGTGCCATGACTAAGTCTGCAATGAAAATTCTAGACGACATTTTAGACGTCATCGTTGAATTCCAAGTACCTGGTGAAGAGCCGCAACTGCTGGAAGGCGAGCGCATGACAGCGCTGGTCTCGAAAGTTGATACCGAAAGGCTCGTGGGATCAAGCTTTTCAATCGGTGAAGGGTCCTTTGCCTTGCCCTCTTCTAAAGGCATCGTCAATATCTTGCAAGATGAAAACTGTTACATCGTAGCGAAGGTACACAAATAGTGATGATAAAAACAATTATGATACCTATGTTTCTCAAATTTTCATAGAAAAGTCCCCTTCGACGCAAGATCTATAAATGTTTCATATTCATTCACCTCTTCATATTAGTTTTATTTCCTAAAATACAAATAACAATATAAAATAATGTGATATTGGGTGATTTGTGCAGAAACAGCGTCGTATCTCTCTATTGTCCTCGCGAAGTTCATAACAAAGGATTTTGTGTTCGATGTGAAGTCTGGTTCACTTTCTCCCAAAACGAAGCTTCGGGCTCTTCTGCTTTTGGTGATAGCACCGTGGACGCGCGAATCCCGTTTTTTTTTTTTTTTTTGTCAGACCTCTTGTACTGAAATTAATAGGGCGTTTACAAAACCAAAAACCAGGACCGGATCGGATCGGATCGGATCGGATCGGATCGGATCGGAGCGGATCGGATTGACAAAACCTGGACCGGATCGGACCGGATTAATAAAACCTGGATCGGATTGCGTCCGATTGACAAAACCCGGACCGGATCCAAAAAAAATTTAATATCCTATGTTCTGATCCTTTTGGTAGGTGTTATAACATACGAACGAAACGAACAGTGAATACAGGTTGAAGAATTGCAAAAAAATTCAATCAATTTTTAGTGTAAGAACGTACCTCATATTGGAGCTATCCGTTAGTTCATTCATTTTATTCATTCATTTCACTTGCCATTACCAGAAAAAAAAAATTTTAACCGAACACAAAATGTATGATACATCAAAGATAAAAAGAACTATTCTAACTAAATTAACTTCAAGATCAAAGGAACTGAAGAGGTAACAGCAAGGAAGCCTATTAGAAGCCGCGGGCTTATTAAGTATAGGCTTCCTTAAACTATAGGATAAACCATACAAATCAAAGGTGCTGAATGAAAATTTAGATTAAGTTAAAAAGAAAAAAAAAGAAAATGTGTGTAGCTTAATAATGAATATAATTTGGAAAAGATCCAAAAGTCGATACAAGTTCTGCAGCCTTAAGAGAAGCATTCAAACATGGCGACTGTTTTTCTTGCCGTACACTGTGTGAGCGCTAAGCCTCACGGGAGTTACAAGCGATGATGTTTAAGTTTTCGATCGGAAGTAATAACACCTGCTAAGCAAGTGCCGGTCAACTGAGGCCGCTACGATTTGACCGTAATTAATTGTAGTTGAAAATGAACATCCACAGACGTTCTCAAGCTCACAATACAAAATGTATAGTTGTTTTATTACGAGTGGACGTGACCGTGACGGGAAAGTGATGTTGTGTTACAATGTATGTGGCATATTGTAACAGTGTTGCGAAAAGCGGTGTTACATTACAGTGTCGACCGACGATTGTGAGCGCTCAAAACAGTGTATGGAGTCCGTAATAGCGTTCTATCAAAACGTTCGTTATGATAATGATAATCTTTAATAATTGCTCCTAAAAAGGCTTTTCGGCAACTATTTACAATGATGGGTCAGTAATTTACAATAATGTTTAAATAAAATTCAAAAAAACTATGCACGGTGTGCAAGGCTAAAAATGTGTTTCTTATGGCATACTTATGTATAGTTTTCAAAATAATAAAGTATGTGAGCTTACCTCGTCTGTTTTCTGTAGTTCTTTATTACTGTTTAGGCGAAACAACTATACCTTTAGTGTAGTGAGCTGGGGCGTCTGCGGAATATCTTATAGGAAAAAGAACCATTAAAACTTTGCTTCACTGAGCTGCGAAAAAAGGCAGTCGTATTTCTATGCCAAAACTTGATCATGAGATCTTACGTGACTATTTTGGCGGGAAATTTTACGGCGATCCGATTTTTTTCGGACCCGGTCCGGGTTTGTCAATCGGACACAATCCAATCCAGGTTTTGTTAATCCGGTCCAGGTTTTGTCAATCCGATCCGATCCGATCCGGTCCGGCTTTTGTAAACGCCCAAATTAATATGTCCACAGTCTCCGATCGTGTCTGTCGAAAAATATACACTTACCTAGTAGCCTTCTTAAGAGTTTAAGTGTTAGGAAAAGTGAGTGTTAATTTTTTCCGTTCAGTTCAGATCATCAGTCGACTACATAGCAAAAGTAAGTTCCAGATGTTTATATTATTTGCCAGCCGCCATATTGGTGCGCTAAAGCTGTGCACCAACATGGCGGCTCCATACTGCGCTCTACAAATTTGCGCAAAACATTTCGACAAATTAATATCTGGAGTTTGGAGAAACGAAAAGGCCTAAGACTTGAAGGAGTGTCTTCTTTTCCTATCTCCTATCGCGTTACAATTTCTTTACTTTATCCACCGGATAGTTTTTGATGTATTTTTTCTTTGCGTAAGAGTGAAAACGACCTATTTGGATAAATTAGCACCAGTTAGCCCTAGATCAAATATGTCCTATATTCCATACTATGATCTTAGCTGAAATGCCTTTAGAATTTGGCGTCCTGGCTCAATTGAAAGTGTCACAAAGCCCAGTCAAACCTGGAGTTTCATTTTCAGGATGAACTCTCTTCATACTTTACTTCGTGCTTTATATAGCTTGAGAGGGGTCAGTTCGCGTCATAACTGTCGTTTATTTTATTTAATTACCTCCGTAAGCACTTCGATGCATTATTTGAAGGAATGCATAATTTTATTGTAACTCTGATATCTTATAAGGGTCTCAACGCTAAAGATAATCCTTTCATTTGGGATAATTCATCATCTGGTGTAAAGAGCAACTGCCTTGGACTCAAGTTTGAGGACTGCCACGGGACACCATTAAACGTGACTCGCCTGCAAGATCCAATTGCTATCACCATTCCACGCGATGATATCGGCGACTCGCCCGAACCTGGGAATTTTACCCTTGAAGAGAAAAAGATAAAAACGCATAAGTTGAACATTGACGATCCTACTTATGCGATGAACGCTGTGATACAGCCTGGTGCAGTTAACTGTTCCCATGATATCGAGATCTTCCTCCGTAAAAATAGGAAGCCAACAACAGAGTTGTTTGATTTCAATTGGACCATGAGTGTGCCTCCGAAAGAAGCCGAAAAGAGAGACAGCTTTGCATTTTCTGTTTCAAATTATCAGTTGAATAAATCGGCTTCGGACTCTGGGGAATATTATCTGGGTCTTTATGCGACTCTTCATGAAGAATCCACGAAAGATGAGAAATGTCGCACAGAACTCAACTACACTTTGTTTACATTTGTCTCATCATGCAACTTTTGGGACGAGAGAGAAGAACTATGGAAAGCATCTGGATGTGAAGTAAGTTAGTAATCATTGAGGCAACGGCATCCTCATTCCCAATTATAAGCTTAACAAAAATTACCAAAACACTTTTTCTTAGTGACACTAGATCATTAATTTTGATTTTCATTAATACAAGACTAACGAACTTTTGTTTAGTTTCATATATTGTATTAAACGTTTCTCCTTTTCCTCGCTCATTTTCCATTTTACCCAGCATGCCTTTTGTCATTTCTTGCGGTTCCTAATTTTGTTTACTGCACTGAAAAATAACAGATATATTAAGTGTTTCAACATTATCTCTTGTATCAGGTTGGACCAAAAACCACCTACTCCTCCACAGAGTGCCTCTGTACTCACTTGACAAATTTTGGTGGAGGCTTCTTGGTTGCTCCTAATCCAATCGACTTTGACTCAGCTCTTAAGGGTTTTACTGACATAGCATCAAATCCCACAGTCTTTGCCACAGTCATCACCATATTTGGCTTGTACTTTGTTGGAGCGATCTGGGCAAGATGGAAAGACAAGAAAGACTTACAAAAGGTACTGTTTGGCAGAAATAAAGTTTTTAGAGGACATATCTGAAAAACTATTGCTAGCTACTAATTTGAGACATTTTAATAAACTTTGCGGTCTCCTCTCAAAAAGGACTTGCACTCAAATAGAGACATTCCTTTATTATGACCACTTGTTTCTATAAAAAAAAAAAACGGGGGTCCCACCTCAAAACTAGTAAAACCTTGTTTGAACGCAGTAATTTTATATGAATTAGAAGGATGAAATTTATTTTAACTCGTTACTTCTTTTCAATTGCTTCCACTGAAAACTGCTCGTTTACCTTTTTAGCTTGGTGTCACTCCTCTCTTGTCCAATGATCCTCGAGATACTTACGGCTATGAGATCACTCTACAAACTGGTTTTCAACAAAAGTCGAGAACAACTGCAGACGTGTTCATCCAGCTGTTTGGCACTCTGGGAGACAGTGAGCCTAGAATGCTGAAGGATCCAAAACGCCCGAAATTCGGACGGGGGGAAATCGATCAGTTTCTATTAACTGGTCCCCAGTCCCTTGGCAATATCAAAGAAATACACGTATGGCATAACAATGCTGGAAGATCGCCTGCCTGGTATTTATTTCGCGTGCTTATCCGGGACTTACAGACCGACTCAAAGTGGTGGTTTGTTTGTGATCGATGGCTTGCTGTCGAGGAAGGCGATGGAGCAGTGGATCAAAAACTTAAATTAGCAACCAAAAGGGAACTGACCAGATTTAACATTCTGTTTGTAAACGCTACCAGAAAAAATCTCCTAGACGGGCATCTTTGGCTATCAGTGTTTACACGCCCACCAAAGAGCACTTTCACCCGAGTCCAGCGACTGTCTTGTTGCCTCTCATTGCTGTTAAGCACAATGTTGGCAAACTTGATGTTCTATCAAGTCGGTGCAGATGACAACTCAACCGCCAGCCAATCTATACATATCGGACCATTTATTTTGAGCGTAAGACAGATTATGATCGGCGTGCAAAGCAGTTTTGTAGTGTTGCCGGTGAACTTGATCATTGTAATGATATTTCGCAAACTTAAACCAAAGGAGGACAACTCAAGGTCTAAGAGGTACGAAGAGGTTGCAGAAGAAGTGAGCTCTTCGAGCCCAACAATGGGTTACCACGATTTTCCCGTAAAAGCAGCTTCAACGCATGAAAACCATGGTAAAGACGCGACTAATAGTACCTTACAAATGGCCGAGATTTCCTACCCTGAGGAAAGCGACAATCCCAAGAGGAAGGATTTGAATTTGAAGACGTTACTGAAATTTTTCAGTCGGGATGACGACGATGATAATACGAAAAAAGCGAAGAAGAAGTTCTTGTTTCCACGCTGGTGCATTTACATTAATTATCTGCTGGTGGCCATTTCCTCGCTAACGTGCGGGTTCTTCTGTATTCTGTACGGCTTCCAGTTTGGAAAAGAAAAATCAGACAAGTGGTTGACATCAATGTTAGTTTCATTCTTTCAGTCCATTATTGTTATACAACCGTTCAAAGTGCTTCTCCTTGCAGCGTTCTTTGCGTTGATTATAAAGGATCCAAATAAAGAGGAGGAACAAGAGCAAGAAAATGTATTGGATCCTGTATTGAGCACTGACGAAGAATTTATTGAGGGCGATGCAGAGAGGGGACCAGGGAAAATCGGCCTACAAAGCAAACCGCCAGACGCAAAGAAGTTGGAAGCTGCAAGAAAACTAAGGTTAAAACAGTGTGAGATGAAAGCAATCATTAAAGAGGTCGTCACGCATATTTTGGTGGTCTGCGTTTTGCTGGTTGTTGCTTATGGCAACCACGATAACAGATCGTTTAAAATGACTGAAGAGGTCAAAAACGTGTTGGTTACCAGGGATTCAAATACAATATCATTTGACGCGGTGAGGAATTTATTGTTATTATTACAACTTTATTCTATAAAATATACTTGAGTGAAGAAAATCACCCTCGCTTTCTTTCAAGATGTATCGTTCGACATAGCAGAAAATATCAGGTTACATAACGGTTTACTTGCAAACTTTCTCCGTATTTTTACACAATCATGGTAAGCTTATCTCAGCAGGAACTAAATGAAAGATAGAAAGAGAAAGAGAGACATATTAAGCTACTATTCGCAAATCTTTATTTGCCCAAATTTACAGATATCTTAAAGTGTTAAATCTAGCTAAGCTGTCATAACTTGTAAACGAAGTTTTTCGTTGGCATAAACTACAGGAATTTTTCTTTTATGGAAGAAGCGATCCGGCAAAGTTAGAAGAATATATACCTTAATAGGGCTTAAGCAATGACAATTGTGAGGCTTCAAATTCTTAGTCATTACAATTATGTTGTTTCACTAAGCTTAGGATAGAAATTTGCCCACCATATGCAGCACGATTATTTTGAAGCATCAACTTCTTTCATTCGTTTATTTTCCAGTTGACTATGCAAGAAGCATTTTGGCAATGGGTGAAAAACCTCATCGCCAATCTTTTTCCCTCGAGCACATCAGACGACTATCCTTACATGGGCATAATAAAGAGCGGAGAAGTTTCAAACGTGTTGGGCCTTGGCCGCATTCGACAATTAAGGATGAAGAAGGGTAAAGATTTCTCTTTATTTTCAAATAATTTCTTAACAAAAGAGACGATTTATAATGGGCAATAAACTTTGAAATGGAATAAGATATGTTCGCTGTATTTGAAATTACAACTGGAAAGCATTTTCCTCAGTTTTTTTAAAGATCATATCATCATAGATGTCCGTAAATCATTCCTATACTGCGAGAGTCCATGTTGATTCAGGGCTGTGTGAGAGGTGTACCCTGAAATACCACGCCCTTGGCCCGTTTTGGATTGACGTTATAAACCTTGATTTGAGTACTTAAAATTGGGTCCATTCTTTCTCATAGTATGACAATACCATTCCTTGATGCCATTCTTTGTTTCTTTCGCCTTCCGCTCATAGTCATATGAAAGGAGCATAGACATTATCTGAAAGCGTTCCCAGTAGGTGATCGTCATCGGGAAATAAAAGTTGTTATCACAACCCCCTTTCTTTTAAACCAAGCCTCAAATCCTTAGGTCCTTCGATAGACTGGAGCAAGATATATCGTGAAGTTCTTTTAAAATGCAGCAAGTTTTATTTTGTTTTCTTCTCAGATACATGCAAGGTTCCAGTGGTTTTCACAACGTATATAACAGAATGTAACGATTATTATTCTTGGTCAGACGAGGAAATAAATGACTTCCACCAAGGATGGTCACCTCAGAACAAGACTAAACTCGAGAAAGATGAAGAAAGAAAGCAAATATCTCCTTGGCAGTATCAAGGCACTTTGGAGGCCAATAGTTTTCCATACTTGGGGAAAATGGCTTCGTATAGGGGAGGTGGCTTTATCTTTGAGCTCGGGCCTGATGAAAACACTGTTTATGGCGAACTTGAGAAATTAAAGACAAGTAACTGGATTGATAGATACACCAGAGCACTGTTTACTGAACTAAGTATCTACAATGTAAATATAAATCTCCTTTGCGTGGCGACTTTGCTTTACGAAGAGTTGCCCACTGGTGGTGGGCAACCTTTCGTCAACGTCCAAACAATCCGTGTTTACAGGTACATTGGGAACTTTTCAGCTGCCCTCATGGCTTGTGAGGTCATATTTACATTTTTGCTTTTAAACTGGATCCTGAGAGATGGCAAAAGGTTGTGGAGACAGAAAAAGGCGTTTTGGAAAAATGTTTGGAACATTGTCGATATCGTCATTACGTCCCTTTCTGTGGCATCTCTAGTACTTTATTTCATGCGACTTGTTTTTCTATCTTCAGCTCTTGGAAAGGTGCGAGACGATCCCTCGAAATTTGTCAGTTTCCAGTACGTGGTGCTCTTAAACGAAGGGGTGAATGCCATGGTCGCATTCGTCGTATTGCTACTGAACCTCAAGTTTCTCCGTTTGTTAAGATTTAATCGGAAGATCTCCGTGTTATCCATAACAATTAAAACCAGCGCCAGTAAGCTTGCTAGCTTCATGCTGATGTTTATGGTCATATTTTTGGCCTACTGTTTCCTAGTTTTCCTCGTGTTCGGCTCTGCACTTGAAGACTATCGCTCCTTCATAGGATGCATGGAATCTATGATGTCCATGGTACTAGGAAACTTTGAGTTCTATGATTTGGTAGCTGTAAATGCTGTGATTGGTCCAGCTGTCTTCTTCACTTTCATGGTTGTGTTCCAGTTCATTCTCATAAACATGTTCATTGGTATTCTTTGTGACAGCTTCAACGAAGTTCGCTCTGATTCGGATAAACAAACCAACGAATACGAAATCTTGCAGTTTATTTCCAACCGCATGAAAGCTTTAGTTGGAATATTCGTTGAACCACCCATTCGACCAGAGTATAATTGGCCAAAGAGCGATTTGGAAAAGAAGGTAGAAACGATAGAAGAGAAAGCTGACACGACTATGTACTTCATGCGAAATTTGTGTGACGAGGATGTGCGCCAAATAAAATGGTTTCAGCCTGACTTATGGTCAAGAAAGAAGAGCAAAGTCATGTCACTCGTTCTAAACTCGCATGCTCAAATCTTGGAGAATGACTTGTGCGACGGGATAGAGGCTATGAACGACGTTATAGAAAAGTATTCCGAGAACGAATTGGATAGGATGATCGCTACCTCACGGATGAAAAAGAGGATTGGATCTGCAGTGGCTTCAGTTTTGACTGGGAGTGTGATTTCTATTGATGAGGAATCGGAAGAGGTGATCTCGCAAGCTTCTCAAGACATCCTTGATGACCATGTGTCGATAGTGCAAGAGATGCAAGGCTCACATGACGACAACCAAGACACGTCCAAACATAATGAGGAAGAACCTGACGAAGAGGAGGAAGATGAGAGAGACATCGAGGAGCAGTGGGAAGACGAACTTGAGTTGTTGGAAGAACGTCTTGAAAACTTTGCATCGCGGTATGAATCTTGCAATACACCTGGGAGGTTCGTAATAGATAGTACTCTTTCGTTGAGAGGAGCTTCAGTCACAGAGATGTTAAAAGGTACGCAAGACGTCGCGTGTAGCTGGGAAGAGGATGATAGTGTTATGAAAACTGCAACATCCTTGGAAATTACTTCTTCCGCATCACCGGAGCTCCTCAATGAAACCCAAGAGAATATTACAGAGGTCAGATCGCAAAGCGATGAGGACAAGATGGAGGATGATGTCTTCCAAAGTAGTTTACCACAGAGTGTAGCAGGAAATACTTCTCCTCTTGGTAAAAGCATCTTAGCATGGGTTCCTGGGAGCACTACTGGGAACAACACCATAGTATTCGTAGCAAATGACAGCAGAAAATCTGGGCGCAGTGGAAATGAATACTTGACCTCGAAAGGAGAAGAAGAAGAAGAAGAAGAAGGAGAAGAAGGAGAAGAAGACTTTGTTCCACAAAGGAAAGAAAGCGAGGCCTAAAAATAATCTTGCTTCTTGCAGCGCAGATGTATCGTCTAAAGACTTCAAAGATCGATAGCCTGGTTTCGATTTGCTCAATAGACTTCTCTGGATTGACCCAGTTAATAATTAGCAGCGCATTCATTAGCGCATCACCATTATATCTGCTCATACCTAAATCTAGAGTTAAACACGCATGTATAAAAAGGTCAAGGGTTCAGCTAACAAAATGAACTTACAAACATTACAGATTAGTGCCCCAATCTTAGCCGAAATGACAAATAACAGATATAAAATCTCTCTTGAAATTGAAACAAAATTTTCACCTTCTTACGAGCTCTTTGAAAAAAAATTGCACGAGCTTACAATTTTTCGTCGATTTCCTAAAGGGTTCTTAAGGTAAAAGACATTTTCTTAGGAGTTGACAAAGTCTGACACATCCCTATCGATGATACGAGGTTATCGAGAATAATGTTAAGCTGATGTCGTAAATCACTAATGGCAGTTAACAGATTTGAATCAAGTCGGTAACCGTTAAAACTTGTCGTCGTAACAGGGACATGCTCATGTTTGTATACACAATTACAAAAAACGACAATAAAGTCTAAATGAAATAACTCGTTTAGAATTTTTGACGACAGTGTTTTTTTTTCTCAGATTTGCAAGTTTCAACAGTTTACTCCTTAGGGGAAGGCAACTGCTAGAACTGCGCTCATATATGAAGTTTGACAAACTGAAAAGAAACTAACGAGCAGAAAAATCAAACAAAACAGGGAATTTTAAACAAACATTTTTTGTGTGCTCAAGGAGCACTACCACTCTCTTTTAACCAAAAATTTGAAAACTGGTTTAATACTATGGGTAGGAAGTAAACCATCCAATTGATACCAATTGTGCAGATACAAGGGGGACGGGGGTGGAAAAATAGATCCAAGACATATCTCATCAGCCTTAGTATATTTCTTTGAATAATCCATCCTTAACTGCATCCCGCGCTGTAGGCATCATTACTTTGCCAGTATGTCCTTAACATATATGTCTCTCATGTTTTCATGATTATCTTCCGGTTTTATTTGATCAATATCGAGCGCGTGCTTCCGAATAAAAAACGAAATAGAGGCAATTGACGTCATAAGAGACACGCGCAGTTATCACACGGAATTGCATAAGATTGGGTCGCAAGAAATCTACCTCGACTGTCAATCTCTTGAGTACTGAAATTCAGCAATTACGTAAAGATTAAGGATGACAATTTCTTATTCGCGACAGTATTTGGCTGTTGAAAAGAAATGGTTTGGGGATACGCGCGACCTGCTTCCACAACGCGCTTGAATTACCATGGAATTTAAGGTAATACTGCTGTTAATACTCCAATCCGTTGGTACAGTTACACCACTCTTGTTCGATAGAGAACTTGAAATTATCAATTCAAAGTGGTCAGACGTCCCTATAGCTGTGAGACACGTCGAATTTATTGGTACTGTTGATAACGGAACGCTGGATTGTTTTATTCCTGGATTTAAAAAGTATCGTTGGGAGTTCATCAACAAAGCGAGTGCCGGACCATTCGCTGAATCCGCCAGTCTCATCCAGGACGAAGAAATTAAGGAACATCAATCCGAGATACGAATCGGTAAAGGAGGCATTCCCATGGCAACTGAAATGTTAGTGGTCTCTTGCGAGGCAATGCTTGAAAACCGGCCGCGATTTCAGATCATTTGGGTGATAACTCGATTGCACTCACCTCTTGGATATCCAACCGACCCTAGGGTATGTTATTTCCACCTGACTAAATATAAAAAGTTAACATGCATCGATTACAAGTGGTGGTTCAACACGGATTGTTATTACAATAAAGGAAAAGAATACAGAGGAACAGCCTACATCACGAAAAGTAATCCACCCCTTGATTGTCAGTACTGGTACCTGAATCGTCCAAACTATGGCAGCAGCCGAAACAAAGTGGACTTTGACAAGGAACACAGATACTGCAGGAATCCGACTAACGAACATAGTCTCTGGTGCATCACAACCTCAACTAAAAAAAGCTTAATAAAACAGTACTGTGCGGTTCAAGAATGCTCGGATTGCCTTTATGGATATGGAAACGGTACATTTGATATATATAACTTTGAAAGTTACGACACAGCATGGCTCATACCAACGTTCCCAAAATATGAGGGCCGATTGATTGAGACTCTTAAGGATGACGAGAATGGGTTGCCACGATTGTGTATGTCTGGTAAAGGATGGGAGTTTAATCTTTGCAGGCCGAGGAAAGGAATGGCAGGACCCCACTGCTTGATAGCCAAAGAAAAATCTCAAGAGTCTCTCATAACAAGGCGGGATGACAGCAGGTTGGAGTGGGCAGAATGCAGAATCCCACAGTGTACAGTGAGACAAGTTTGGTTTCTATTTTTCAATTCCTTTGGACAACCTTACCTAAAAGAATCTAATGTAGAAGATGTGGAAATAATCATTGTCAAAGGAAAAAGGAGTGAAATAATAAAATTTGCGGCATTTGGAATACATCGAGCCTCAGGGCTCAGCATAGGCACTGATGAGTTACGATTGGGCAAATACGCTCGATCTTTTATTCTGACACCTCGAGTTCCTCCTAAGCGTCTAAGCACAATAGAAATAAGAGACGTGACAGAAAAATGCAGTGGCAAGTACTTTCTTAAGTACACGTTTGTGGAGGGGAATCCGAAAATTCAACAAACCATTTACAAGGGCAATTTCAGACTGATCGTGCGCGATCCAATGATGTTGTCAATCACACCTGGTAAACGCGAGCTTTGTCCAGGGGAGAGAGGCAGCTTGGACGTTCAAGTGTCTGGAGGTTTTAAATTATTGGAAGGCAGCATCAAGTGGAAATACGGATTTTCTCAAAACAATATTAATCAACAAATATCAATCGAAAATCAACTATTTGAACTCTCCTCTGATTTCAAAGAAATAACCTTAAATAAAGTCCAGAAAGACACTTGGGTCAGGGTTTACGGGTCTTCTTTCGCAGGTGAAGCCAGTAGCACGGCGCTATTCAAGGTCAAAGGTTAGTATCCTTTTTTTTTAAATCTGTTTGCACTAAAAAGTGATTGACATATATTATCCAGTCAGCGGGTGACCAAAAAAGAGTAGAGTTACCCAGGATATTTCTGTTCAAAGGTCACCTTTATGCGCGGTGTAGCGTTTTACTTCCCTTTTGATTGGTTCAGAAATCTTGCGCCACTCTACCAACCAATCAAGTGCTAAAAAACCCAATCACAACCTAGTCATTTGAGTTTAATCACGCTTCAAGTGGCTTTCTAACAAAATTTCTCGTTCTTTTGAAGCACTACCACATCTCGTCGCCAAATCACCGACCCAAGTTTTCGTATTCCAAGGTGATGATGTTTATCTCACTGCAGACTCAGAGAGAGGCGTCATGACCACATGGACTTTTGAAGCACAAGTTATACCTGACGTTCCCGACGATCCTGACATGGCCTTCCTAAGAACGCTTCAAAACAGCACAGTGTCCGAAACCTTGGTGATTAGTTCGGTAGGCTGGAGACACTTTGGAATTTATGCTGTTGAAACCGAAAAAAATGGCTGTAAGAACACTGTGACATTTCACTTACAACAAGATGAAGGTAAAGCTTGAACTTTGATTGGTTTATCTCACTCGCGTGCAATTGGTTTAAACGCTTCACATGTGCGAATATGCCCCAGTTAAACCTTGGAATATCCGGTGATGCTCTTTTTTTTATTTTTTATTGGGCATATCAGATAAATATTTGAACAAGGCAAAAGTAAAATAATACAATAACAAATAGAAAACAGAAAAGAAACTGAGATAAAACTGCACCCAAAAGGGAAGGCGCGAATGGGACGTAAAGTCCCATGCGAGGTGCCGCCCATTATGAATTAAAAAACACTAGAAAATAGAAAATTACAAAAATACAGAATAAATAAGTAATTTCAACTTAGTGGCACGAGCACCTACTGGCTAGTGTCCACGTGCAGGGCCAATCAATGTCATATATAGTTTTTAGGCGGTCTAGCATTACATTGCGGACTGGTACGAACCTGGGTTGTCAAAGCTGGTGGATGGTAAGACGGAGCAAGTAAGGTTCCAGAGTTTAACAGTGCGATTAAAGTATGAGGCATGAAAAGTACTGGTTCTACAAATAGGTGTTTTTAGGTTGAAAGAATTGCAAAGTCTGGTACGGCCGTGGGAGATGAAGTCAACAAAACGGTGTACGTTAAAGTCAATATAGTTGTATAGACATTTGTAATGAAAATAACAAGTCTTTCAGTTCTCTGTCATAGGATAAAGGGAGCAGGTCAAGCTTGATTAATCTGTCCTTGTAAGAGACCTCTCCCACCCAAGTTTGTAAAATCCCTCGATCGGGTGGCGCGGCGTTGTACTCGCTCGACTTGGGCCTTTAGGGTGACTTGAGCGGGCGACCCGACTTGCGTGTCGTAGCACAGCTGAGACTTGACCAGCGACAGGTATAGCATGCGCCGAACAGTCACGTCGGGTATTTGAGGGCATGTTCGCTTTAAAAGCCCAAGGAGCTTGTTGGCTTTCGCAGTACTAGCGTGAATATGGGGTTTCCAAGAGAGCGAACTTGTGATGTTAACACCCAGATCTTTTTCGGTGGAGACGCGCCCAAGTTGAGCACTGTCCAGGGTGTACTTGTCAACCAGGGGGGATTTTTTACGGGTGACAGTAAGTGATTTGCATTTAGAGGTGTTAAATTTAACGCGATTACGCTTTGACCAGCTATTTAGGTTGCTTAGAGTAGTTTGCAGAGACTGACAATCACAAATAGAGGTGACGCTTTTGTACAGCTTGGTGTCGTCAGCGTACAACGCTGCCCTGACCCCGCCTACAACTTCATCCGGTAGATCATTAATAAAGATAACCGGCGCCCACTTTGATGCAGCACCTTCCACAAGCACCCAGATAATGCTCACTAATTCTCAAACTTTGAGTCAAATCCGACCTACTACTAATTTCTGCCTTGAGGTGGGCGTGAATCTTAGAGGAAACTAAATTATCTATTCATAAAACCGCTTTGAATGTCAACGTCAGTTTCCGGCGATAGGCTTTTTGAAAATGATTTTAGTTTTCTCGCTGGATAATAATTGCTTACTTTTGCCGGCTTAAGAAATGTTCGGATCTTTTCTTTGGAAACTATCTGTTCCTTAAGGCTCACAGTTTTATTCAGGCTTCGCTCTCGAAGTCAGTTCGATTTTTGGAACAGGTAACTTCCATTGAAAAGTTCCCACGCATATTTTGAAGTATATGAAGGCTATTATTCATTGATTGTGTTCCTGATCTTAATTTTTTATTTTTATTTTTTCTTCACACTGTCGTTTACCAGAAAGGGAAATCGGTGGAGAGACAGATATACCCGAGGAAGAAATTGATAACATCGAAAGTTCAGTGGAAAATGAAAGTGAGAAAAAAATGTGCTCAGTTCCAGTTGAAATTACTGCACTAAGAACCTTTGACAGTTTCATGTTCACAACCTTTTATACAAAAATGCTTGCAACTTAATCCTTTCTCTGCGATAATCTTTCAGCAATAGTAATTAAGTTGGAGACGGGAAATTCATATATTTCTTGAACTCTTTGTACAATCTTTGGTTGTAATCGACCTTACTTGGACATGAATTAATCAAACCATGACAATTCTACGTGAGCGTTGAAAGTAATCCGTAATTTCCATTGTTTTGCTTTACTGTTTTATAATTGGTCAAAAAAAAACCTCGCATTACGTTATCAATCAATGAAAATTAAAGTTACTTGTGCTTGCTGCAGGCAAGTGTTATTTTTTTTGAGGTTCCCTGAGTCCCTTTTGACTGTTTTGTTTGCTCCTATTGGCAGTTGTGATTGCTTTTATAAATTAGTCTTGATTTTCGATATTTGATTTTTAATGCGCTCTTATCAATCTTCTCCTCACGAGTTTACAGTTTTTTTCTCTTGTCCACAGTAATAATTTCAGTTAGGGATACTGTTCTTGCAGTCAGATGAAAGACCATAATTTTGAAAGAAATAACTGTTCATGAATTTTTGCAGGATTCTGTACGGTAAGACATCTAAGTTTCAGCGAATACCAACAAAGTGATCATTCCACAAGTTGGATGTTTGGTAAGTAGATAATACAGTCTTTTACTCACACAGAAAATGTTCGATATCTCCCTTGGCAACCTCCACGTTTAGGATTAGCTGAACCCGTATGTTGAAATTCATAGCATAGATAGACCTGCAACAAAGAAACTATGTATCTCCAAAAAGTTTCATCGTATGCTGATTAATAAATTCGGTTCCTGTGCTAGGAATACAAGAAAACAACTAAAGCAAACTGTCACTAAGCTTTTTAGGCAGCATGTAGTACAATGTATCAATAGCTATTTTATCTCATGTTTAGTTGCCCAACTCTATTGAGCTTACAGTGCAAAAATAACAGAAAGACACAAGTAAGAATGTATGTATTTATAATATCACTACTCCATAAAACCTTGAGAAGAACGTTTCCGAGACACTACTGTCTGCATCTCAAATTCTCACCTTCTAGAGTGAACAGGCAGGCACACCTAATGCAAAACAAATCGTAATTTAAGTCAGCCCCCTTACCTTGCGAAGTTACATTTAAAAAAAAAACTGAAAAATAGTCTGCATTATTTTGTTTCCGAGCAGACATACCATGTGGAAAGCAAGAAGGAAACGATGAAGAAATTAACGAACATTACGAGCATCCTATCAAAGAACTATCCCCATGTAGCGTGATCACAAGTTATAGTTTTGTAAGCGACGCAGACAGACCTCACAAACTTCACATACGGGTAAACGAGTCTAGTTCGTTAGAGGAATACGTCGGTGATGTCAACTTTATGAAGGTATTTTGGTACAATGCAATAATACTTACATCCTATTACACGTTTTGGTACGTAGTGCCGCTGAGTATTTTCACGAGTTGTGCCTGCGTGCACTATTTTTAGCGTGATGTGCTCATTTATCATATAAGATTATTATTTATGCTAGCAGCATGGCGTCTTGGCAACATATTACAAGTGCGAGGGTTTTTATCCTGAAGCGTTTCTCTTGGCTAAGTTACAAAAAATGTATGGCGGTTTGTGTGGAGAATTATTTGTCAGATTCAAAGGAAGGACTGATAAACTGTGCTGTCCGCTGTCAGGGGCCACACTTTACAATTTTCTGAGTCGTTTACGTCTTTTCGTTTCAGACAAGTTACTTTCAAAGTAGTTCCGGAGATGATTTGCTCCATTACTATTTCTTTCCTGAACCAGTCGCCGCTCGTTTCATACAGTTTACCGCTGATCCAGCCGAGGATTCAATGTGCCTACATAAATTAGCAGTCAGCGGCTGCTCTTTACGTAAGCGGGTGAAAATTTGGAATTTGGCTTGTATTTAAAACGGAGTGTTCAGAATGTGGTCAACTTTATGATTTTGTTTTAATTATACTCGTCAAATTTTCGTTTCTATAGTCCAGTCTGAATGCAATCCTGGAAGTTTCACAGTTGATAGCATTTTGTGCAATGACATGCACAGCTCAATGCTGAAAGAGGAGCACGTCAAGAAGCTGCCAGCTTGTAGTTTGATCACCAGCTACCAGTTTCAGTCTAATGGAAGGATGCGTCACAAACTGCTGGCAAGCCACTCAAGTTCCATGGTTCTAACAGAATATGACGGACATACTGAAGCTAAGGTATGTGTCTAATTCTACTCCTTATCACAAATGGTGTTGAATATGGATGGCGTGAGACGAAAGTGTTTAAAAGATGAACGCCATCATAACTGTAAAGCATCGGTCAATGTGCATTTTAAAGGACGAGAAAACATCAGTAATGAGGAAACCCAAAAGACTGCCCAGTTTATATAGTAAGTCAGTATAGAAGAAGTCTGAGATTGCCTTGGTTTTACTTCACAAGGCTTTATGATTGGTCTACAAACTCACGCCAGATATTTCACCAAAGCCCCCCACGGCGAGACAATCTCTTGTCTGGCTTAAGGTTTTTTGGCAAAATGAAATATTTTGAGTTTAAAGTTTCTGACCCTAGAAGTCCCAAAATCTCGATACAATTTTCAGGTGGATCAGGCCGGGAATGAATGGTTTTACAACATTACTTTAAATGAGCCAATCACTGCTCGATATGTCCAAATTGTGCCCGACCGAGCTGACAAGTCCCGCTCGATAAAAAATCTGCAGATCAACGGCTGCAGATTAGGTAAGTTAGCTTGCTTTGAAGATTATATCAGTTTTTTTTTTGTTCCTTGATGGGAAGTCTGGTATGAGAACGGAAAGTTCACTTGCGCATGACTAGTGTTAGACTACCCGACTGACTCTCAACAGAATAATTTGTGACCCAGTTTGGAGCAAGACCATCATCACCGTGTTATTCCTGTTTCAAAGCACAGTTCGATGGAGTGCATGTCTAGGCCATAACTAAAGCAATAAAAACATCCAATCAGAACCGAGAAAATAACACAAAGTAGTCAAGAAAAAAAGAAAACTTGACGGACCAAGTCAAAATTGATTTTACTTTGGAATCTCTTGACTTAGAAAATGGCGCGATTTTTCTGGGCCAACGGCACAGGGAAGAAAAGTAGAATCAGATCAATGTAGGATTGCTTCCAACTCTCAAATGAAAACTGCTCGATAAAATTAGTTTTCTTTTTCCCTTTTAGATAAAAAGTGGTGCAATATTGAATGGGAGCAGTTCAGACAGTCTAAAATGAAGTGTAATGAAGGAGAGATTACTCCTGTCTACAGCGAACATCCACTGTTTGTTTTTCCATCGTGTAACCTGATCTCCAGTTATCAATTCGTTGCAACAACACAACAACATGCTTTGTTACTGAGCGACAACAACCCCGCACTGCTGTCAAGCTTTCGTGAAGGCTTTGATATTGAGGTGGGTTGCTCTTTGTTTTTTAAATCGCAAAATAAATAGGTTTTTGAATATTTCATTTAATCGTCATGAGCATGATACAAAGGAGAATCTGAGCTCCCCATGAGAAATCGAGTCCCAGACCCCACCGCGCACCGATGCCTCTCCATGAGCACAAGCGAGTTACAGAGTACTCCCTGTTGTATTACATTGTTACAAGGTTGACATGTAACAGGGTTTCTGCATGGCGCTAAGATAAGCACTGTCAAAAGGCGTCGTGTATGAGAAATTAAAACTCATGTTATCCACGTTTTAGTCATATCACTGGAAGGACGAAGAATCGATTTTTGTGTGCAAATTGAAATCTCCTGTGGCGGCTCGTTTTCTCCAGTTCCTCTGTGGAAGAACAAGAAATTTGAATGCTAGTTGTGTGAACACGTTAACCATCACCGGATGTCCAGTAGGTAAGCCGGAGTGCGCTATTAACAGGTAGCTGAGGAGGTTGGTAAATCAATGTTTCGGCAGGGAATCACCTTTTGAAAGTTTGTATCTTGCACTTACAGAAGTATTGAGCAAGACTCCTGGGCTGAAATAAGCAGGACAGTTAAAAAGTCTTTAGTTTGAGCCACGCCAGGGTAGCTTATTTGTTTCTTTTACAGTGCTTCTTTTTAAGCAGAAATACATGAACAAATAAAAAGCAAAAGGGACGTTTAGGATTGCGATGGATAGTTACCGTAGGCAAATCTTTTTGGATCATCATCTTGTTGAATTTTTTGCGAGTGGTATAATTTTTCCGTGACCAACATCGACAATTAACAAATGGTAAACACCACAGCGTACACTATTGAGTTATGGATGCACGCGGGAGGTTGCTAAGCACGAAAGAAGCAAAAGAGTCACTCGAGGCGATAGCCGAGAGCGACTCTAGCTTCTTGAGTGCTTAGCAAACCTCCCAAGTGCATCCATAACTCAATAGTGTACGCTGTGGTGTTTACCATTTGTTTTATAACATAACATTGATACATTGTAGCTAAAGAGTTCCCCTTTATTTAACAAATCTTACGTGACCATAAAAAACAAGCGCGCGCGGAAAGATAGTCTTTGCATTTGCTCACGTCAGCAGCGTACACCCATGTGCAAATGAGGGACGCTAAATCGACCAATCAGAGCGCGCGCTTTACTTTGGTTATGTTATAAAAGGGGAAGGGGAACGGAGAACTGTTCCTACGATTGTGATGAGGATAGAAACATCCTTTCCGACCTGTAGAAGTAGCAATACTGCTCATGGTAATCTCATGTCAAAAAATCCAGATAAGCTTTGGCAGCAATAGGAGTAATTTTGGTTTGCATATTTCACACTCACAAGATTTTGTTAGTAAAAAGATAATCCCTCGATTGGTCTCAGTGACCTTTTGGTGATTTATTTTTTAATCTTAAGAGGATTCTTGGTGTAAAACACAATCATTTAAGACGGTCATTGAGGAATATCACGTGGAAAGTGATTACTTCGACACTGGCGCGGGGCGATCTCTTTTGAAGACAGCAGCACTGTCTGTGTTAACTCCGCTGTGGATGTTCTTAGTTGGAAAATACAACCTAGATGGCAGGTAAATTATTTCCGATTTTCTGTAATCAATCTTCTTCAAGTGTAATTAATCTTCTTATTACAACCAGGGACCTCTTTTATGAAAACATAGGTCTAGAAATAAACCAAAACGCACGCCAGTCACAAATGCCTCCATATTTTTTATTCTCTTCTTCAATTTCATTGCAGGTTTATCAAATTTATTTCCAAGTTCTTACGAAGATGTATAAGATCCACGAAGGGAGTTGATAAAGGAGACTGCATTCTGGAAGAAAAATTAGATGAGGACTTCGCGGAGGATGACGTAGGGGAAGGAAAGCTCGATGGGGAAGGCGAAGAAGACAGTATACAGAAGGGAGAGACTGATAACGATTGCGAAGGAGAGACAGAATAAATTTCTTGAATCCCAATAAAAATGAAAAAAGTAAACATGTCATCAATTTATCGAGAGAGGGTTTGGGGTCGTTGCACCTCACAATTTTTCCCCTTTACTGATACTTCAGAAGCCAAGACTGTAGCGGCGGCGATTATGTCCGAGTATTTGTTTCAAATGACTGTGGTCTTTATTTTAGCAGTGGGCGGAATACTCTCCAGGGAAAGGGTGAACGATTTCGATCTGCCATTTTATTTACAATACAGCTAGCCGGGCTTATTCAAAAAATTTATTAGGAAAAATAAATGCGCTTTTTCCGTCCGTTTTATACTTCGAAATGCAATGAGAAGTATGAATGGGCTAATAAAACCACTGGCAATTAGACTCTTGTTTTCCTAGAGTTTCATCAGAGATTTACACCACTAAATTATTTTCTTACTGGTTTTGCGTAGGCCTTTATAGATTATGCTAGCATAATTTTTGGCATAATTTGAGCAAACTGGCATAATTTCTGCCAAGTAGAAATGCAAGCATATCGCATATTTTGATAATTATCGGATCATTTTTGATGCTACAATTTGATCATTGTTCATCTCTTCTCCATCCTCGGAGACTCAGGGGCTGAGTCGATTTCAAGTCAGGGCGTGAAGAGCCCCTGGGGACATTGTCTTACAAGATTAGTTCCAAACGGTCGCAGTCGTTCTGCCATCTGATTGGTGCCAGAAAATCTTGGCGTTTTTCTGCCCTATCAGAGTAAAGTGTACTTTAGAAACCTTTCGTGTGTTTTAACACTGACATATATCCTGGTAGCTCAGTTGCTCGCTATGTTTGTTTCGACCGTGCGACGGAGATTTGCTTGAGGTGAAAAGTTTCAGTCTCAGCAAACAATGTAAGAGAAATCGATCAGATTGTCCGCGAAAATTTTTACCAGAAATTATACTGAATAGTTTCACAGGTATCACTAGAGAACGTGTTTTCAAGTTTGCGAGGTTTGTAAACAACACGATGGTTGCAGTCATTGATATGTCGCTTTAAACGTTAGACGAGATTTAAGCTTAAATCTTTCTAGATTTTTTNGCTGAGAAAACTTATGCCTTTCACTCAACTGAGATTTCAGTGCAGCAAGCAACAATGAAGTAATTTCACTTTTAACTTATCACAACCGCTAAAAGTTCTGGGGAAGCTGTCATCCAATACAGATATGAACCCCTTCGTCTGTGGTTCGTTTGTTACAATGAAAGACGACAACCCTTGATTATCAAGAATTTGTAATGAGTGGGGAGAAGAGAATATTGTAACTAATGGGAAATGGGGGTTTAATTAAGAAAAAAGATGAAAACAGAATGTGCAATTACCCTGCACATAAATTCAAAGATTACCATTGGATGACAAGTGAAGATTGCTGGATGTTACTTTGTGATGATAAAACACCGAAACTTTATCCAATCAACTCTGGGGATTTTTAGCGGGTGTTCGTGCGTTGAAGTCAATCATTGCATAACTTTACACTTCATCTATAAGAGGAGAGTCCAAAATCCTTCTTTTTATGTTTAATTATTATATGGCTGTGTCTGACAAGGACTGGGAACTACCGAATTCATGAATTTGATTGGCTGAAATCAATATTGAAAGCGGTCTAAACTTTCCCATCTAGACCGGCATTTAGACCGGTCTAGAAAAAAAAGGTACAAAGAATATAAAAAAATTGGCATATAAGACACAGCCATATAATAAACATCTTATTAACCGAGCTAGGTCGGTCTGTTTGGGAGAATCTTGATCTCGGTCAAGATTCTCGCATACAGACCTCCCGCTCGGTTAATAATAGCTAATTTGGATATATCAACAAAGTTGAAATGGTACATTGGCCATCGTAACGATTACAATAGCTGACGTTTCGAGCGTTAGCCCTTCGTCGGAGCGAATAGAGGAATTGTGGGTTGTGTGTGCTTTTAAAGGCAGAAAATGGAGCTACGTTATTGGTGGGAACATGGCAACGAGAAAAACACGAATAAATTAGTGGAATGAAAAGCGTTCGTTGATCCCTGTGGGATTTAGACTGCCGGTTTGAAAGATGAGCTTTTGTTCAAGAGTTTTACGGCTTTCCGTGCTACCTAAGTGTAAGGAAAGACCGCAGATTGCCATATGTTGCTTAGAATGATTAGGTAAATTAAAATGTCTAGCGACTGGTTTCGATGTGTCCTTGTCATTCTTTTCCACTTCTCGAAGGTGTTCTCGGAATCGGTCACCTAGTCTTCTGCACGCACAACCCACAATTCCTCTATTCGCTCCGACGAAGGGCTAACGCTCGAAACGTCAGCTATTGTAATCGTTACGATGGCCAATGTACCATTTCAACTTTGTTGATATATCCAAATTAGCTATTATTAACCGAGCGGGAGGTCTGTATGCGAGAATCTTGACCGAGATCAAGATTCTCCCAAACAGACCGACCTAGCTCGGTTAATAAGATGTTTATTATATGGCTGTGTCTTATATGCCAATTTTTTTATATTCTTTGTACCTTTTTTTTCTAGACCGGTCTAAATGCCGGTCTAGATGGGAAAGTTTAGACCGCTTTCAATATTGATTTCAGCCAATCAAATTCATGAATTCGGTAGTTCCCAGTCCTTGTCAGACACAGCCATATAATAATTAAACATAAAAAGAAGGATTTTGGACTCTCCTCTTATAGATGAAGTGTAAAGTTATGCAATGATTGACTTCAACGCACGAACACCCGCTAAAAATCCCCAGAGTTGATTGGATAAAGTTTCGGTGTTTTATCATCACAAAGTAACATCCAGCAATCTTCACTTGTCATCCAATGGTAATCTTTGAATTTATGTGCAGGGTAATTGCACATTCTGTTTTCATCTTTTTTCTTAATTAAACCCCCATTTCCCATTAGTTACAATATTCTCTTCTCCCCACTCATTACAAATTCTTGATAATCAAGGGTTGTCGTCTTTCATTGTAACAAACGAACCACAGACGAAGGGGTTCATATCTGTATTGGATGACAGCTTCCCCAGAACTTTTAGCGGTTGTGATAAGTTAAAAGTGAAATTACTTCATTGTTGCTTGCTGCACTGAAATCTCAGTTGAGTGAAAGGCATAAGTTTTCTCAGCTCACTCGTAGCGCTTATCGTGAGCACAGTGTTTTTATTGTCGGTGTGACTGATTCCTCGGCGTTATACCTCAACTGAGAGGCGCGTGGGGGATGATATGCTGTCCATTACAATGTTGGAGACCAGCACCCAGCCTCCTAAAAAGAGGAAACAGTGCGATGGCTACACAAGTCTACTCAAACGGTAGCCTACTACAGGCCACCGGACGATTGTACTTGGCCTTTAGAGATTGACATATGCATGACATTCTCTCCTTCAATACACTATTGCAGTGAACTTCTACTTTGTAAACCAGGAGAATACCCATTAGAAAAGTGTAGAGGCAAGTCAAGACATGAGAACTGCACTGAAAGCAAATGGGCCAGAGGCATGGACACGAATTCGAGGCTTATGCATCAGATGAATAAAGGCTGATAGTTTCTAAAGAAACAGTTTGGGGCTGGGTCGGTGGGGGTAACGAAATAATTTCAATATATCAACTAAGTTGATGTGGTAAATTGGCCACCGTTACGATTATAAAAGCTGACGTTTCGTTAGCCCCTCTGCCGAAGGGCTAACGCTTGAAACGTCGGCTTATACATAAGGTCGAGACTTCACGAACAAGACAGTTTTCCTGACTCGCATTCAAATGTAATTACCAAATTAAACGTGAGTTCTAAAAACTAGGAAATCCTTATATTTTAACGAAGTTCCCGCTCGTAATGGAAACAGCGTAAAGCTGCAAATTAAAAATTCGTTGGCTAGTACAACGAAACAAAACGAACAAGAACAAGCTGATAACCGAAAAAATAAACTGGGTCATCCATTAAAAGGTCATCGTGGTCTGCCTCACAAGACGGATCAAAAATGATTCTCATTGATTTAATTATTGCCGTGAAGTAGATCACATCCCGCAGGAATTCTCTTTGTTTCCTGGAGTTAACTCAGAATTATGAAGGTTTAATCAAGCAAGTTTATAGCCTGCAGAGCAGCCGTAATTTTGGCTAGTAAGTACTCAATATTTTCTCAGTGAAAAATATGGCCGTCATCTTTGACTCCCATAGAAGCGGAGGGCTGGGGAGAGAAAGAAATTTGCACCAAGGGAGTTAACGACAATGAAAAAATAAGAAAGTCAGACATGGTCGGTTCTGAATGAAAGATAGCGCGCTTCGCAATATTAGCTCGCCCCAATAAGACGTCTACACCGTGCAGACTAGCAAGTTTAGCGTGTTACTTATCGATAATAGCAATCCAAACTACATTCCTGTATCAAGGCTGTTTTACCGCAGTATGTAACACACATGCAAATTATATTTTTCGTTAGGTAAGGTTAGTGTTGGTTCAACTGAAAAGAACTTTCTGGTATTACTATACGTATTCAATCCCTCCATGGAATGAAAAGAACTATTAACGTGGACTTCAAATGAAAGCCAAGAAGCCGACCCCCACTGATATCTGTTAACAAAGAACAACGCATTCATTGCGGAGATATCAACAACACACTCATTTTTTTTATTAGATGCATCAATACAATTTAAGACTTAATTATGTATCATTTGGCCCCAAGAAATTGAACTACCAACGGCAACGAAAAAAATAAAAGACAAATATCCCAACTAAAAGTAACTCAAAGCAATGCGTGGCAGGAAAGTGAGTAACAAAAAAAATATATTACCAAGGTACTTCAAAGAATTAAATGATACCTGCGGTGAATTTGCACGTAACAAAACAAAAATATCTCTTTATCAATTCTATTCAAGTTAGAAGAACAGATTACATCTACTAACTATTCCAAAACTCTGGCTAAACATAAAAAACACAAACAAAGTCAGTAATTTTCAAGGCAGCGATCATGTGTCATCTACGAATAGTTTGTGATTATGTTCTATTACTCCAACTCAAAGCTGCACTAAAGTAACTCAGGACAATGCTGTTTAATTATTTACAACATGCGATTGAAATGAAAAAAAAATCTCAAGCTTAGCATCAGCAAGGATGTTTTGTTTACAATCTGTTCGTTAAGAATTAATTTAAGACAATTAATGCTATGTTCAACAACAAAAAGAAATTACATTGTGACCAGCATTCGGTTACCAACTTTGCTGTCAAAACAGTGCTGTCAAGTTATTCTGTAAACAGTACACTTGTGTTCACACTTCTTCTTTAAGAACTATATTACCGATCAAGTTAATTCAGAAAATACAAAAGGGCGAAAAAAATTAGTCAAAGAAACGTTTTATTTGCTAATTGAAGACAACGGAGAAGGAGTCAAAACAAAAGTCTTCTTTCTAGAAGGATCTCCCACTAAATCGGGAACTTCTTGTTCAACCCCATGTTAAAATATAATGAATTCCCTGTTAACAGGTTTAAAACTCCTTCTCTTGAAAACAGAGAACCTTTATCATTAGCCACTTCTCGTGCTTTCGAAAAGTCATGCTTACAAGGCCTTCGCAAAGTCCGAGTATTCTACACTCAAGCAAAGAGAACAATTTCAATTGCTGCACTACACAGCATTAGATGAAGCAATTTTCTTGTTAAGTGAGATTTGAAAATCGTAAAAACACTTTACAAATTACGAAACTTTTCCTGGATTTAAAAGGTTCTCTCATCACGGTGTCTACTAAAGTGAGAGGCTAGCGCACAAAGACCTTCCAAAAATCGCCTGACGACAATGGAACAAACTTTCCATCACTAATATAGTCATCACATTCAAATCTTCCCGTTTCTAACAACCAGTGACTTGAGCGCCCCGTAAAGGCAGTGTGATCATATAACGAAGCTTCTCCCCATTTACCAAGTGGAGGCTTACCTCGTTTGCCGCCTCTCCATCGGTCGCACGTTTTTGCTAATTTGGAGTTGTCATCTTCCATTCTCACGAAAGAGCCACAGGAGTCAGGCTTCTCATCCGTCTGACCGCTGAGGTACTGGACCACAGCTTTACCTGAACTGTTGGCAGCCGTGGTCACGTGGAACGTACGTCCCTGTCGTTTGCTGCAGTGAAATCTCAGCTGAGTGAAAGGTATAAGTGTCATCAGTTCCTGCACTGCTATTTTTTTCAGGAACGTTATGTTGTTGAGGCAGCTGCTGATCCCATGGTATGAAGATACCAGCTTCACTTGGAAGGCGGATGGCCTGTTAAGTACAACGTTGGACACAAGAAGCCAACCCCCTGAAAACCAAATTAAAAAATAGCTCCAACAATTCTCGTTAACTCTGGTCTTTGGTCAAAAACTCTGAACTGAGAGCGAATGTGGAAAATATTACATAGGGGTACTGGGATTGCCCTGAGTAGAAAAATATCGGAATGGAATATTCTGACACATTTTGGCAAAGCCTGTACGTAAACTATGTATTTAAGGCACGTGTGCTGTGAGCGATAATTTCCTCACATTCAACAATCACAAAAATGATAACTACTTTGAACTTATAGCACCTAAAGAAATATCTCTGAACTGTAGCCACAGACCTGCAAAAAAACACTCGCTACATTCCCTGAGAAGCCCAACTATATACAAGCTCTTTACTCTTCATCAAAATTTTTACCTCCGTCAGTTGTCATGTCACAAAAGACTTTCAAAGGGTTTCCAGTCTTCTCAGGGTCGATCCAGTACTCCCCGTCCTCAGGGGAATCTCCTGAGTCCCGGATGTCCTTACAAGACTTTGCGGGGTTGGAATACCGACCTTCCAACACTAAAAGAGAAAACGTAACGTGTTTTGATTTATCATTATTTTCTTTTTTTTATTTGAGGCTCATGTCAATATTCTGCCCAGACCTCGGCCTGTTCAACCCAGCTAGTAAATTCTGAGTACATAAACGATTTTGTAATTTATGATACATCGATCAGTAGAAATAAAAGGAGTTACATATACGAGGAACTTCCCGTGTGGAAACCAGGAGGCTTATGCGAGCTACAGGCTCTTCATATTTTGCAAAAGTGAGGTATCAGTTTTTTAGTGCGATTTAGGAACAAAATATTTTAAGTTAAAAAGGAAAGAACACACAGATAGAAAACAACGACATTACGCAAGGATTGATGTAAAGTCTCAAACATTACGGCAATTCAAACCAGTTGACCCAGCGTTATGAATACACCCATAAATTTTCTTTAATTTACCACCTAAATGAACAATTATACTGTTTTCATATTCTAAAACCTCACAAAGATATGGAAACAAAACCACAACAATGAAAAGAAAAAAAGACAAGCATTAAGAAAATTAATACTACAATTTTTATACGTCTTATGACTTTTTTATGCGTCTAAAAATGATCGGTGTTCGTTTGTAGTTCAACTACTTGTCCAATTCATTTCGGTAAGTTCGCCCAATTTTCAGCTCCTATCAATAGTTCCTTTTAGATATATTTGGGTGAGAGTTGAAGTCCACACTTCAAGAAAAATCGAACCCGGCTTTCTACTGAAAAGCACAGCTATATCGACCAACCAATATATCTACGTCTAGCAAGTAACAATCACTTTATCCGATTCCTTGGTCTAAGTTAAAGAAATTTGCCACTTTTAAAATTTGTTACATGTAAGCTTGAGTATTTTTCCACGTTCCTAATTTCAAGAAATATTTCCCGATAAACGAGGCAAGTGTTTGGAAGAATTAGTGACTGATCCTAAAAAGCAAACATATAGGCATTCTATTACTTACTTGTTTGACAATGAGTTCCTTTATATCCCGGATGACAGTAGACGCTCGTCATTTTCCCTGTTACCCCATGGGAATCATCCATACATGGGGCCTGGGTAAGAGTAAATGAGAAATGCTTAAGAACTCATCTCTAGTTTAATTTGATCGTCATGGAAACAGAATGCTTGATGTTACGATCAATTTTCCGTTACGCTGTTGTCAATCATATCTCTGACTACCTCTTGGGAAAGAAGTTTGATCTTTCTAAGGGCCTTAGAGGTAATTTCCTGGTCGTGATCGGAAGATTAAGATCCATTGGGTCTTTTTACCCTGCTTAATTAAAAAATATTGGTTGTATGCGTAGACATAACAAAGCAACAGGAATGGGCTTTAGGACTCATTATTTGAAGGTTAAAAGAAGGAAAGATTGTTGTTTTCAGTTGGGAAGAAAGCTTGCTTAACATATAGCCAACGATGGCAAAGACCGTGACTCAGTTCTTTGTAAAGAAAGTTTTGAGCATGGAAATAACAAGGATTTAACACAGCAAATAAGAAAGAGGATCGCAAGAGAACTTTTTAAGACTCTAGCCCTCTCGAATTTGCATGCTTTGTTTTTTCGTAATGTATCTGACACCTGAAACCATCGAAACTGACCTGAACAGAGCCATAGTAGGTAGATCCTCTCTTTGATTTCAAATCAGCAGGGTTCGTAAACTTTGTGTTACGGTTCAGTTCACAAATTCGGTTTCCTTCGCTATCACTGGGATGAACATTACTCGACGCACAAAAGGTCTTTGTCTTGCATCTTAGCAGACATTCAAACTCGTCCACAACAACAGTCCTGCTCAAGACATGCCCGTGTAATGCATGGTCTGGAGGAGGAAAACCTGTGCTGTTAGTCAGAACCAATTAAAGATTGACCACTTAAGGGATTCATACTTACCGTCTAGAGTTTCAAAAACTCTTCCACATACGTCCTCACTCGATACTACCAAATAAAAATCCATCAGTGATATTAAGTTCATCCAGACGGACGTCCTTAAGCTCAGAAAGGCCATCATGTGGGGAAGTTTGCTTTGAAAACTGACAGGTGCCATTATTGTTTTCAAGTTTTCGAAGTATACGTGTGAAACAGTTCACCCAACTACAATTATAAATCATGAACTGAAAGTAAGTCGAGGCATCTGGTCATAAAAGTAGTCTTGATTCATAATTCATAACTTTATTCCTTTATTTTGCATTGTTCAGATAACCCGCATCCCTAGTAGTGATACAAGGTTTGCATTCTAATAATTTCTAGTTCAAATATCTCAATATCGATTTTTCTCCCGGTATTCCAAAGTTTAATTATTCTGTTGCTTTATGTAAACAACCAACATTCAATGTGTTACCTCCTACCAGTAGATAGATGAACATTTCGATCACAGTATAACTTTTTTCACCGTTTTGACAAAATCCCTAAATAATTCAAGTTATACGGAAACTTCTCTGGGAATTCCTTTCATCTTCAATATAATGGCGTGGTGAGTAATTTAGGGTTCAGGAACTTGTTTTGACCATATGGTTTCAAATCGCAGGGCTCCCCTACTTAGATTTTCAAATGTATAAAGTTTATAAGTCAAGTTAGTTAAGACAAGAACATCGCTCAACGCAGTTTTGAGTTTCGCTTCACCTGTACCTTAGCCATCAATCGTTTTCATTTTACAAGGATTTTTTTTTATTCGTTTCTTAATTCTTTTCCATTTTTCGGTCACATATAACTATTTCCTTGGTGCCCTTCGCTGGTAAATGGTTTTCTGGGACTGGATTGCTTTTTATCATTCAGAAAATTATATTTAACTATCGACGGGGTAGAAGGGCTGGAATGGAAAAAATTGGGCTCGCGGTCATGACGTAAGGATCCAACGCAGCAAGGTCTGTGCGTCATGAGTGCACACGTGCTGTTAGCCGTATCGTAGGACTTTTTTGTTATCACTTGAATAAGTGATTGGCACTAACTGATTCTAAAAGACTAGTGCCTCACTCGAGAATTTTCTTTTAACTTGCGTGAGTGCACCGATGAAACATCGTAGAGAAATTTGATCGCTTACAAGTACTTAACAGCATATGGAAGGGAGAGAGGGTTGTCCGTCACTAATTTCTTTCTTGACCTGTGTTCTTTCTTGACCTGTGTTCTTTCTTGACCTGTGCACTGTCGCAATTTTCTCATTGGGTAAAGCTCGTGTTTACTTAAGAGCACAGAGAGAATGATTGTTCAAATAATAAACATTAATTTTCTTAGTGTCGGGGTAACAAATGGCAGAAGTCATTCCATCTAAGAGTCGTGCCCATGACATTGCATAAACATTTAATAAATACATCACTACTGAGTGTCAAACTTAAAATGTGCTGGTTTTATTTGTCCCTACTACATGGCTGGCAATCATTATAATCAACCCAAGGAAGCTTAAGCAAGACCTGTGTGGTATCTTGGCAAATTAATCCCGACTTCAAAAATAGGATTATTTAAAATCCGTATTAATCTTCTTAGTAATTCATACTGTTTCTCGGACTTCGTGTTACTGCCTCTTCGATTTTGTGTCTTCCTATCTTACTTAACTGATATTTAGTGTTCTCCTTCAAACTGAAGGTAAAATAACTATAGCAAGACGGCGAAAATCTTGATATCCAATGAGTGGTAAAGTCTTAAAGGTAAAGCATGCTTCATTTGTTTTTACCTGGTTGTGTGGGTATTCGCCTCTCCTCCCTTACTTCAAACACAGTGTTAGTTTCCTTGGTTCTGGAGTAGAACATGTTTTGAAGAACGGGAAGTTAGCAGATTAAATGATTGAAATCGAAAGTATTTGTCCAGGAACGTTATCTTCCTCAACTTGCTAAGTATTCTCGCCTCAAACTATAGCGACTGTGATATTTGACGACTTTGTGTAATCACTAAAAACTAATTGCGAAGATTACGTTGCGTGTAGATCTTTACAACTAGGCCGAGTCAATGTGTACAGTAGTCACTATGTGCTAACGAACAAAAACTTTCCAGAAATCACTTGTTGACACATTTCCAAAGTGGTCATCACATTCTAATCTTGATGGAGATAACATCCAGTGAAATCTGGCAACTACATAAGCAGCGTGGTTGTATAGTGAATGTCCCCACTAATCGTCTTTCCACCGGTCACAAATCCTTGCTAATTTGGAGTTGTCATCTTTCATTTTCACAAAAGAGCCACAGGGAGGTGGGGGATCGATATTAACCTGACCGCTGAAGGACTGGACTACAGCTTCACCAGAGCTGATAGCAACCGTAACCACGTGAAAGGAACGTGACAGTCGCTTACTGCAGTGAAATCTCATTTGAGTGAAAAATAAGTGTGTTCTTAGTACCTTCATTGAACTTTGCTTCAGAGTCATTTTGTTGTTGTGGTAGTTTCTGATTCCGCGGTATGAAGACTCATACTAACGACTATGGCAAGGGGAAAGGGTTGTCAATAACAACATTTGACACCAGAAGCCAGCCTCCTGAAATAAATATTCAAAATTTTATCACCACTTTACATCTCCCGTGCTCGGAAAGGTGTACCCAATATGCATTAAGTCTGTCAGTTGACAACAATACACCACATGCTGATTAAGTTACACTTGTCTTCATCGAAAAACTATTTCGCAACACGCGCACAAGCTCCCACAAATCAATCTTCCCTGGCGCACGTAACCTTTAGCAACGCGCATCGCTGTCAGTCAAACGTAGCAAGGTATGAACACATGCAACGCAAGATCTGTCGTGCGATTTATAGCATAAGGAAACGCATTACTAGAAGCATGAGACACAAAGTCAGTGTACATTTGTGTGGTAAAGTTGTTAAACCATGGCAAATCAGTAACAAGAAGCCCTATTCATTTTGTGACTAACAGTAAAATATTCTTTAAAGAATAAGTACGGCTCATAAGTACCTACATGTCTGTGCAAAAACAGGATTGAAACAAAATGTAAGCCTGTTGCCACTGCACTGGGGCAAAGTCAGTAGGAAAACTCTAATGTGGATGTAATCGTATTTTAAGAGCATTAAAGCCAGCATGGTATCATATCTTTCCACGACAATTTTTCCTTTATTTTTATTCTGAATGACCTGAAATATCAGCTATCTCACAATGGTTCAATATCTTGCCCCCGGAAGTTGTCAGGTCAAAAAAGATTTTTAAAGGGTCTCCGGTCTTCTCGGGGTCGATCCAGTACTCCCCCGTCTCATCTTGCGTCTTCTGAGTCCCGGATGTCCTTACGGGAATTTGCAGGTTGGGAACGCAAATTAATTAGCTATTAAGGAAAACAGAACGTGTGTTAAGATTGCAGCTCTATCACAATCTCGTCCTTAAACTACTTAACAAGATGGAAATGCTATCTTGGTATTATAGCCACAAAGGACAATAAAGCATATTTTGAGGTTGCAGAAAAAAATATCCTTCTTCTTTATCGTATACCAACGAATACGAGTGTTAAAATTTCATCTTAAAATTATCTTCTTTCTTTCTCTTTCTGCATTGTCTATTCTTGTTCTTTTCTTTTTTGCCTGAATCTCATTCGTTCATTGTTTCTTTCTCCCATTTTTCATGCATTTATTTTTCACACCTTTAAACAAAATGCACTGAAATGAAGGATACGAGGCGCGGGCTATTGCAAATTCACGTGACCTTTGTCGATATCATGACGAGAATTGATAAAGGTAAAGGGTGTCTCCTTGAGCATTACCAGCGTCGTAAATTTCGACTAAACTGTTTCTTAAAGGGGAGAGTTTTTTAGGGGTAAAATATTCCGGCCAATCCATGTATATGAGACAATAATCAAGGCATGTTATCGCTTACGTATTTCACAACGTGTTCCTCTGTATCCCGGGTGGCAATGACCTTTCTCACTTTGTCCATTCTTCACAAGAGAAAAATCCATGTAAGAGGCCTGGGTGAAATTAAGAGAACTTTCAGAAAATTCTTTCTTAGTTTTCACGGCATTGCCATGGAAACATCGTTCCTTGATTCCCTCTGATAGTCTGTTTCACAGGCTAAGAAGAGTGACCAGGGTCAAAAGACTTAGATGATACTTCTTTAACCATACAAACAAGCTTCATTCGTTTTCCACTATTTCACGGCAAAAGTTTTCAGTGAGGCCGGTTGGTTAGAGCGCTGGACTCGTAAATTAGTCGAATCCACAGATGTCATCGGAACAAAAAATTGCTCTCAAGCAAAGCGAAAAGGGGCGATACAATGGGTAGAATCTGAAATTCAGAGCGTTTGAAACTGACCTGTATGTGGCCGTAGTATGTGTATCCTTTCTTTTGTTGAAAATCACCTGCCTTCATCTGCCGTGTTTTGTTGCTCAGCTCACAAATTCGGCTTCCAGTACCGTCTCTGGTATGCACATTGCACGACTTGCAACTGTTACTTTCCATACAATTCAGCTCACATTCAAACTCGTCCACAACAACAGCTGTGTTTATGACGTGATCCCGTAAAGTATGGTCTGGATTAGCGACATAACTTTGTTATCAAAAAGATTCTTAAAGCGTTAAACTTTTCGTCTCTATGTTGTTTACTTACCGATTTGACGGAGTTTCAAAAACCTCTCCGCAGTAGTTGGCCTCAAATAATATTGAAGAACTGCAAGGAATAGGTTAGTGATGATGAAACCAAATTGTGTCAGTCCAAAAAAATCCATTCAGTAGGATGTCGAACAGCTTTGCAAAGGAAAAATTTTACTTCAAATGCAAAGATTTTCCCAAGTATCAAGTAATGCCGACAAATTTCTTTCATCTATAATTTATTGATCTCTTGCCTTGTTTTAACTTTTGTTAAGGACAAAGAGTTGGCAAGCAAATTCAATAAAAGCATTAACTTTAAGTTAAGAATGAATCATCAATTATTGAGTGTGTTTATTTTGAAATGTAGATCTCATTTGATCAGAAAAGCCCTGCTTGCATAGGAAGACATATTTCAAAGAACAGGGACAGAGGTTAAATAATTAACAAGCGAAGAACCTCCTTGTAGAGTGGAAGTCAGGGATCGTAAAAGCACTATTTTTAACGAAAACGATGGCTGTATGTAATGTATGGCTGAGTCAGCTTACAATTGTGAACATTATCCTCAAAAATGTAATTGTCCTGGCAAATAACAACTTTTGCGGAAGAGTTTTTGAGACTCGTGTCGGTCAGTAAGCCAAACAAATGCATTCGGCTCTCGTTTACTGGTGCCCTCATGTTCATCAAGACCAAACGTTATGTTTTTGCCTTTCAGACTATGCTTTAGTCGGTCATGTTATGGAAACGATTGCTGTCATGAAAGAAATTCAATGTCCGTTTAAATGCTTGGCAATTGACGGATGTATGTCGATCAATTATTATCCCATGGCCAGTGACAGCAATGGAAACCGAATTTGTGAGTTGAATAACAAAACAAGGCAAATGAAGCCAGGCGATTTTAAAAAGAAGAAAGGATCTATATACTACGGTTCTGCTGAGGTTGGTGTTCTTTTTTTCGGTCTCATATATATATTAACTGATTCAATCAGTGATTTTGAACAAACAGAAAGGTCGGCAAAAGTATTTCTCGATATCCTAAAACTCTATAAATTCTCGGGGTTCTTTTATTATTGAAAACAAACGTTATCTGGTTTTTGTTCATATATTTTATCGCTCCAAAGCTATGAGATCGTCCATTGATAAAATAGAGCGTTAATTAGCCCTTGTCAGAGCGAATGACGAAGGGCTAACGCTCCGCGAAACGTTCGCCTTTAAACTCTTTAGGTGGCCAATCTACATTGTTCACTCACTTCAAAAACTAAATTATCTTGTAGTATTCCCCGCTGACGCAGCACCACAGTTTTCTTCGAAACTTACCCCCTTTATTCATTGAGAAATTAGTTCGCCTGACAGTAGACGATCGTAAAGGACCAGTTCAACATCATGGACGGGGTAATTCTTTCAAACTGACAGATTGAAAACTTCTGTTTGCAGCACTAAAAAAAGAGATATGATCCAAATTTCTGGATAAGAGTTTTTTGATAAAGAGAATGAAATTTTGAAGTAACATGCGTTATGTAGTTATCAGGTTATGACAAGCTGAAACTGGGTAATGTGGAGCGTCAGAATACCTGAAAATAGGAAGCAAGCTTTCATGCCTCGATACCGTAATTAAAAACTTTCCTAATCTTATTTTTATTATTCACCGTGCAAGGCCTCCTGCATCGATACTTCCTGGAAGTGGAATGGACTCTCTAAAATCGGTCAATGTCATCCGGAATACAAAGGGACACAATGCCAGACACGTGAGTGGCTAGAATATTTTCACTATCCTTTATTTACGGGTCGCTATAAGAACCAATTAGTTAAAGATAATGCCTCGATTGTGCTGTACATGAGTTAGGTAATTCTATCTGCACTTGGAGGTGAAAAAATAATTTTAAACAGACCTTAAACTACATGATGGCACAAACTGATTCTTGAGATAGGCTAAAAGTATAGTATTCTTATCCATCCATCGACAGTTAGCCACTTTTATTGAGCGAAATAAGGGCTCAAGTTGAATATTCGAAAAATTGACTAAAGTAAGTGTATTATTTACAAAATTGGACGACCGCAACTGAAGCCGGGGTCTGCTTTGTGTATCACGAGTATGATTACACATAGAATTGGACAACACGAAGTCCTGTTACCAATTTATCAAAAAAATTATGAAATTCGAGAAAGAAACTAGACATCAGTTATACGTTTTCATAAAACTCGGAGAAGCGCGCGACAACAGTGCGCGTACATGACACGTTCTGTCCACTTACACGGCATGACGTGTTAACTGTCCCTCTAACTGTCCAATTACGAGCATGATACGTACACAATACTAACAGTGCTCAAATCGTGCTGTTGAAAACCGATCACGTTCGAGAATTTCGTTATAGTTCTAATTAATATAAAAATAGGAGCAAATGAATCATCGCTCTGACGAAGGGCTAACGCTCGAAACGTCAGCTTTTTTATTCGTTACGGTGGCCAATTTACAAATTCAACTTAGTTGATATAACAAAATTACGTTGTGATAACCGTCTGAAGTAAGGGACATGCATAAGTTGACAGGTGACGAACAAGTATCTCTTCTGAGGGGAGTTGCAAAACTGACATCTTTTTCACTCGGATTGGGAAACTTGGGTGCAGGGGGAATTTTCTTAGAAAAAACTCCTTTTTTTCATTTTTTAAATTACAATAAATTTGCTGGTTTTCTTTTAGCTCGTTATGTACTGCATCTCCTCATCCGTAGCGAAGGTCGCGAGGATCCAGGAAGGTATCCATTAGGTGTTACTGCTTCCATCAAAGTGAATGGAAAGGATTATTCTCCTCGTCTAAGAGGCCATAATGTGGTCATTTTAAGCGGTGTAACAGGTAACATATGTAGGACTCATTGTTTGGGGAGAGTGGAATGTTAGTATGGAAGAAAGAGTGAAACGTTTCTGTCCAGCTGTATTCTTGATTACATGGTTCGAACCGATCCTGTGTCTACATGACTAGTTTTTCTTAGAAACATATATAGGAACCATTTTCTAAGAAAATCGGTCAGAGTTTGGAATCAGAATTTGGAAACCCTGTCATCTTAAGATTTTGTATAAGAAAATCTCGTCAGGAACTTTGAAGAAAGGTTTGTGCCAGTAAAGGTCAGATTTAAAAATGATTTCACAAAATCATTGTAAAGCTTCTTTTAGTTAAGTGAAGGACCAGTAACGCTTCCAGAAAGAATAGCAATGCTTCTTATCGCTCCGACATGTAGAATTTAGGCTTGATTGAGAAAAAAGGAAATTCTTAGAACTTCTTCTATTTTTTAGGCTCCTTTCTCGACTCGAAAGTATTTGATACTCACGCCAGTTCTGATGCTGGTTATCGCCTGAGAGACTACCTCAACAGCATAATTGGGAAGTATGTAAAATTTTGAGACGCCATAAGAGGTGTACTAGTATTCGGCAAACAACAAAAACAAAATAAAACGAAGCATTTGTACAAACATCAGTTGTATAAACAAACACATAACACTTACAAAGTCATAACGGGCTGAATAAATAAGTTGATTAGGGACGGACTATTATTTTTCTGGAGGGGGGTATGAGAAATTTTCTTCTGCAAACATTTTTTTTTATACACATACGTCTCTACAAACATTTTTTTCCCAACATCATGTTCGTGCAAACAATTTGTTTTCTATTATATTTTCAGTGATCTTTTAATTTGTGCTAAATATTACCATTGCCTTATTGAACTATTTTACGAAGAACGTGATCAATAGTACTGTAGTCATTTTTTTTATGTCGATATACGCTCCACTCATTTTTTAGAACGTTTGGCGGCTACTGACGCAAATAAGAGGCATACGACACAAATAATTCCAACTTTTTTCAATAAATATTCAACTATTTTCAGATTTGTTATTTGCTTAATACAAATTAACCAAATTTTTTAGTGCCCAAATTGTGTTAACTTTTATACTAATGCTTTAATTTGTTACTTCATTTTTTTTAATTTCAGTTTTAGTAATAATATTTTTTAATATCTTATCTGACTTCTCTGCAAACATTTTTTTTAACCTATCACGTTTGCAAGCAATTTATTTTGTCGTTTCAGACTCTGCAAACAGTTTTTTTTTCAATATTTCTCATACCCCCTCCATAAAAATAATGGTTCGTCCCTTACTACAGAATAAAATCCCTTAAAAACTTGAATATGCCTCTCAAGACAAATATTTCGCTTTTCTATCTTATCAAACCAAGTCACACAGTTTTTTTGGTTGTTTCGTCACTTATTTAGTTCTTGCATCTCACACTTGAGCAAAGGCATCTTAAGAAGATAACGAAGATCCGCAGATCTCAATGGACAGAATATGCTGTATGCATTTCGGTGGCAGCTTACGCTTAAACAGAAGACATGAGAGAATGAAGAAGCCTCGAAAATTGTATACTATCGAATTAACAAATTCACTCTGCTTTTCTCAGAGTGGTTTTATGATATACTTACTCTTAGTTGCCTTTGGAAACTGAGAATTTATCTCAATTCAAACCGCAGTAAAATCGTTTTGATCGCCATTCAAGATGAAGGCTCAAAGCACATATCACCAGCGATTGACGCTCTGAAAAGAGTTCGCGCTACTGACGACATCCTCGACTTGACAGATTACAGAGGATCTTTTGCTTTGGTGGGATACGCAGGTGTGGACAAACCAACTTGGATTGCTCAAAAAAGTGCAAAAATGGGAAAGGGACCGAGTGAGATATCTCTGACGATCCCACCGCCAACAGGTACATCGTCATTTCATAAATTTCCCGAAGTAACAATCTAGTGTTTGAGTTCAGCACGGCGGGTTATCCTGAATAGGGCAGTTGTCAGTGGCTATGACATGCGTTTTAGCAGACTGCGTGGGAGTTTCAACATCCTTACACTGATTTTTACTCTCATATCCCGCAGCTCGGACAAAAAAAGAATCGCTCTCGTCTCTCGCTCTATCTTGAGGTGGAGGGCACTAGCTCACCACGATAACTTAACTTTGAGAATGAAAGCTGTTTTCCACACTTAATTTTGGGAATGAAAGCTGAATGATATGAACTTTCTANGGGAAAGGGACCGAGTGAGATATCTCTGACGATCCCACCGCCAACAGGTACATCGTCATTTCATAAATTTCCCGAAGTAACAATCTAGTGTTTGAGTTCAGCACGGCGGGTTATCCTGAATAGGGCAGTTGTCAGTGGCTATGACATGCGTTTTAGCAGACTGCGTGGGAGTTTCAACATCCTTACACTGATTTTTACTCTCATATCCCGCAGCTCGGACAAAAAAAGAATCGCTCTCGTCTCTCGCTCTATCTTGAGGTGGAGGGCACTAGCTCACCACAATAACTTAACTTTGAGAATGAAAGCTGTTTTCCACACTTAATTTTGGGAATGAAAGCTGAATGATATGAACTTTCTAGGCACCGACATAACGAATATTTTAAATTTTTAAAGGTGTCTTGATCGTTCACAGAACAGATAGCTCTAGAAATTCAACGACCATCCTAATTTTGCGTACAGTTTGTGTCATTTCTTTAAATCTTTTTTTCTCATGAAGAATGAAAAAAGCAACGTATTCGATCAAACCGGGCATATTATCATATCAGGGAATAAGGATAAATTTATACAAAATTTTATTTCACTGAACCCTTTCAGTCACTTGTGTTCTGAAACTGGCGTGCAAATCTAGGTAGCTTTCATGGAGATAACTGCATTTCTTTGTATAGCTATCAGAGGCTTATACTACAATCAGCCTGGTCATTCCTGTACGGACATCCGGGACTCGGGTTTCTTTAAAAAAGACGGAGAGTACTGGGTCGACCCTGAGAAGAACGGAAAGCCTTTAAAGGTCTACTGTGACATGACAACTGACGGGGGTAAGACGTAAATGAGATTGCGTAAAATGTTTTTAGTGCATAAAGGACTACACAACGACTCATATTTTGGTTGTAATGCTTAGGGTACAAGCATTATTTTTCTGTCGTTTAGTTGCGTGATTTCTAAATGAATTTTTTTCAGGAGGTTGGCTTCTTGTTTCAAACGTTGTCGTTGACAGCTCCTTGACGAAACAATTTTCAACTGAGTCGTCGTACCAAGGAATCAGTAACATTTACAACAAGACCTTGTTCCTTACTCAAAATGCCATGAAAGAATTGAGAACACACCTGTCTTTCACTCTACTGAGATTCCACTGTAGTAAACAACAGGGACGCACGTTCCATGTGACCACGGCTGCTAACAACTCCGGTGAAGCTGTGGTCCAGTACTTCAGCGGTCAGATGGATGACCAGCCGGCTGCATGCGGCTCATTCGTGAGGATGAAGGATGACGACTCGAATTTGGCTGCAAATTGTGAGCAATGGAACGACCAAAAGTGGGGTGTCGTAAATTCAGACAGAACCAGCCGATTATATAATACCTCTGCCTTTGTTAATGGAAAATATCACTGGCGCTTAGTGCCAGGGAACCCAAGATGGGAGTGCGATGATCACAACCTGGAAGGTGAAGAGTTCCTTGGATTGTCTTCAGGAGATTTCTGGAAAGTCTATGTTCGTTAAGGACTAGAACAATCTAAATTAGTCTTACCTGTTCACGTTTTCCCGAAAACTGAGACTTCATTTGGAGTCGTTATCATCAAAATACTTCAAATCTCACGTACGATTAGTAAAAATTTGTAAATCGTTTCGTTTGAGTTCGTTCTCTTATTTTAATTTATTATTTAAGGCTGGGACCTCATGCACGAGTTACGGGAACGATGTTAAATACTAATAACGACTACCATCACAAAGAGTTCGAATCAGACTAAGACTTTGTTCCGACTTAAGCCCAGACTTAAAAAAATGGTTTTAATAATTGTTCGTATATGAACTTTCTGGCTAAGGTCTTTCTTACTCCAATAGTTCAGTTCTTCTTCCTTAAGTTTTACCTTTTTTTAGATTTAGTTTTGCAATATTCATCCTTTTATGCTTGAAGTCCTCTACGTTTGATAATTAAATGCTCGTTTGATTCAGGTAATTTTATGAATTTCATCCATTTAAAGACCTGTATTCAGAAAAGTAGACTGACTATGAAACAGGAATTTGCAGTTAATGATGTTTTTGCTGCTGAAGGTTTTTATTATTGATGTGAATATCAGCGTAATTTTGCAGAACGTTCCA